GTCCCTGAGTTAACCTCTGGGCTGTTTTAGAGATAGAGTTCTGTTTTTCTGGACATGTGTTGACTTCTTTGAGGGCCTAGACTATTTCCAGAGTTGTTACGTTACATGTACCTTAGAATGGAAACGGAATTCCTTCCTTTACCATAGTCCATTGGGCTTTGTTCCATGGATCCTGAGGCCAAGAAATACACACGGCAGATAATGCTGACACATAAAATCTGAGCTCCCTTTAAATGGCATGATCTTAGACATATTCAATGTTTCTCGTTTCTGCATCTCTGACAACACTCTGCTGTTGCTTCCCAAGATCGTTCTTTTGCTTCCTTACGTGTCTCCCACTGCTATTCTATTATGAGTGACCAAGCCAATCACGTATCTAGTTACTGGATGAACAAATTGCACGCACATGTCGCTCGTGTGAACACGATTCACAATGAGGGCCGAGCAGAGAAGGGAGGAAACGGAGAGATTCCCTCTGGACAAAGGCAGCAAAACACCTTTCGCGTTCGAGACAGCGATATGGAGAGAATTAAGGAGCGTCGTCATGACGCAAAGCGCGACCGCAAGGTCCGATTCGAAGGGGTTCCGGAAAATGGATCTGTCGACGGCTCTTTACCCTGTCAGTCTGATGATTCTCATTCTTCGACTAATAGGTAAGTCACTACGTCTCAGAATGTTGTGAAAATTTTGTGTTTAGTGTCCCATATAAGATCTAACCAGTGTCTCTACAGTAATGTGAGCAAAGCAACAAAGTAAGTACTCGTGGCCAGCCTCAGCTCATAAATCGTGAAAGTAGAAAGACGCTAATGGTTGACTCGACAGTTTGGATAGAAAATCCAACATGGGTTGTCCGGACACCCTTGCTGGTGATGTGAGAATTCTAGCTCGACGGATTGGAACCCTAAAAAGGGAGGTGGAGAAGATGAAGCAAATGCTGGAGAATATGCAGTGAACTCTACATGGGAAGTCAAAAGGTCATACCTCTTTTCAAGTAATCTTATTCGGTGCATAGAAATTTTGATCGTTCCAAAGTTTCCGAAACATATACAACGCTTTTTGAACAAGTATTTTGATGGCGTTGCTGGGCTCCCTCGATGTCAGAATTACCAGCCTCTTGAGAGATGCAACGGTCTGGCAGATGTCAATGCACACGCGATTCTAATCGCAGTGGAAGAATGAATACGTATACATACTGTAGATTCAGGTACGCCAGATGTTGAGAAAAAGAACAGATCAGCTTAGTACATATGTAGCGAAAGCGCTCTGGTCTTTTATTTTAGCTTACCCTGGCTTTCAGTCCCTGGGTGCAGTCCCTGATTTTGTTTTGTGTTCCGACGACAGACTCAGCGTCGACATCTCTTCATCGATGGTACCTCGGCCGGCTTGTGGGTGTGGGTACACGAGGTACCCTGGTCATCCTGTGCTGGCAAGTGAAAGAAATATTTGGACGGCATGACGCGTTGCAGTGATTGCGAATCGGGGCGGAAAATGTGTCGGCTAGGCTGAGGGAAATCATTTTCCTCTCACGGTGCGAGAACAAAAATTTTGCAGGCGAAAAATTCTGCGGATGGGCAAGCGACTCGCCAAGGCGAGTCTTCCATGGAACGACTCTACATATTAACAGCGTGAAAACCGTTTCACATCGTTGAGCAATGCTAAGACCCATGATTTGCGAATTGATTGGCTACGGTGCGAGCGAATATTGGCAGACTTCTGGAGCCACAAGAAATTAAGCTGCCACGGCGAATAGCCCATGGCATGCCACTTCGGTCTACACCTCATACAAAACTGCGCTAAAGGCCGTTTCACCATTGTCAACAACGTTGTTGAGGCAAATGATTTGTCACGCATAGCTTCGTGCCAACCACGGCTCCAGGTGGATCCAGCCACTCCGCCCGCTCTCCACTCCAAACTCTTGAAATTTCTTATTTCAACGTTGATAAACCGCCTCAACACCCACGAAATTAGGGTCGCCCGGTGCGAATTTGAAGTCAAAATCTCTGAACTCGGCAAAATGTACGCAAGTGGTCGCTGCCGCAACCCCTACTCAGAATAGCATAAAAGACGCTCTTTTCCCGTCAAAATGAAGAGCAGGACTTTCCTCCTCACACTCCGGGCCTCGCAGCCTTGGGGTGTCTTTTGCAGGTAAGATCTGCGTTACCAAAAAGTCTTCGCGCGAAAGGCCCCGCGTAATCAAGTTTGCCTCGCAGGGGGACGCTGCGTTACCAATTGAGACCCGCAGGAGAGTGTTGCGTCAACAAGTTCTCCCTCGCAGCAATGAGCCCTGCGTTGTAACAATGTGCTCCGCAGGGACATCTGCGAGATCAAGAGCCTCCGCAGGGACATCTGCGACATCAAGAGCCTCCGCAGGGACATCTGCGACATCAAGAGCCTCTGCAGGGACATCTGCGACATCAAGAGCCTCCGCAGGGACATCTGCGAGATCAAGAGCCTCCGCAGGGACATCTGCGAGATCAAGAGCCTCCGCAGGGACATCTGCGAGATCAAGAGTCTCCGCAGGGACATCTGCGACATCAAGAGCCTCCGCAGGGACATCTGCGAGATCAAGAGCCTCCGCAGGGACATCTGCGACATCAAGAGTCTCCGCAGGGACATCTGCGACATCAAGAGTCTCCGCAGGGACATCTGCGAGATCAAGAGCCTCCGCAGGGACATCTGCGACATCAAGAGTCTCCGCAGGGACATCTGCGACATCAAGAGTCTCCGCAGGGGGACGCTGCGAAACCAAGGGAGACCCGCAGGAGACCGCTGCGTCAAAAAGTTCTCCGCAGGAGAGTGCTGCGTCAAAAAGTTCTCCCTCACAGCCCATGAGCCCTGTGACTGTAAAAATGGGCTCCCTCGCAGCAATGAGCCCTGCGTTGTAAACCTGTGCTCCGCAGGGACGCCTGCGTTACCAAGAACCTCCGCAGGAGACCGCTGCGACACCAAGTTCTCCCTCACAGCCCTGAGCCCTGTGATTGTATAATCTTGAGCTTCCATGCAGCCTTGAGCCCTGCGTTATCAAATTTGCGCTTGTTAGGCGACCCGTGGCGCCGCGATGCTCGTCCTGATCCTCTGGCGATTGCAGGCACCTCTTCGTGGTGTCAGAGACTAGTATTCGGGTTGGTATCTCGAAGAAGCTAAGACCTGCTCCAAAGAATCCATAGAAATTAAGAATTCGCTAAGAAACTTTGTGTTTTATGTGATTCAGCCTGTTTGTAGAGTTCACTATGCGTGTTCCTTGTTCACGTAGGGTATCCTTTAGCCTTAAATCACGCCCTGGGCTTGGAGAATGAACATTGTCTTTCATGTGGTGTAAATTAGAATATTGAGTCATGGGGCCGGTTGAGATCTTGGTGTATGATAGCGTGGTGGCCAATGTGGGCGACGGCTGCAATTCAAAGTTGTCTCCATTGGTGGGAATGCTTGTGTCTTGCCTAGGAGCGGCGGTAGAGTTTGTCCGGAGAGTCGAGTATGATGGACATCGAGAGTGGAACATGTTGAGGGTAACGGTTGAGGGTGAGGGTGAAGATGAGGGTGATAGTTTAAGGTGAGGTTTGACGGTGATTGACGGTGATGGATGGTGTGTTGATGGTGGCTGGTGCCGGGACTGAGAGTTGAGGGTTGAGGGATGGTGATGATGGTGATAACGGGGCCGGACCAGTGAGTCCATATGTTGATGTGCAGTGCGGCGCGATAGTCGAGCGGTGAGGTGGCCGCCACCAGTGGCCACCCATCGCCGTCATAGCGCAGATCTTCGTTCCGTCACTAATAATTCAAAAGCTGATATACAGTGTGAAATGATGCTGTCCATCAGCTTCAATCTGGTAGTACAGCAAATTTCAGTGTACATATTCAATACACTGTATATGTGTCTTTTCTGAAGCAATTCGACCATGAGTTAGGGGTTGCGTGACGGTACAATCAACTTAGTTCGCTAATTCAAAAACTATGTCAAAGTGTATGGTAAAGTGTATCTGTTGTGATATGAGGCTGGTGCAGATCAGGAACCAAGCCGAATCATCGGAATTAATACCGAGATATCTATACGAAGAACCAAGTTGATTGGAAATCAACTTGTTCTTCTTGTTGTATATATATATAGCCTAATGTTTCCCTCGGGACAATAAGACAATTCATACCTCTAAACTACAACAATATCAGCTTTCCGATGGCTCAGCAATCCCAAGACGATCGCGAGGCTAACGGCGTCGTTTGTCCAAGGATAAGTCCAAGCAAACTGGGAGATACACTAGTTACCATTGTTGCAGTAACCTGATTAGTCACCCAACTCTCGACACTAGTTAATGAATCAGTGTCTTGGTATGTGCCAAGAATTGGAATTCCTACACATCACATACAGAGATTTTACCCCTCATCATGAATTCCTAATTGGTATTAGTCTAGTATTATTCAATTCGCCCTTTTAATTGTTGGACATCTCCAGATTTATTCCAATCAGTGATTAATGTCTTCGTGATTTGCACTCCCATGTGGGACCGTGGTACGTCCAGATTTCGACAGTATGTGTTAATACAACCTCTTCGGATATTCATGTATGCATATTACCTTGGCATCACAAGCGACCGGATGGCAACCACTACAGTACGTCCCGAAACTGGTGCAACTGATCCACTCTCCGATCAGCTTTTCTGCCGCTTGTGCCGAAACACACTAGTCTGTATTTGGAGTTCTTCCGGGAGCTGCCTATGTATTATTTCGTACGTAGGTTACGCAGTAATTTCATTTTTGTATTCACTTGTAAATTAATACATTTGATACCTCCAATGCCCATCCACCGCCATTACCCAGAGGCGAAGCGGAGGTGGGGCTTCATTTCATATTTACTGGCAACTCATCACTTCATTGGTCGTGTGTCATTGAATGTGAAGTAGCGCCGAATGTCCCTTAGCATTTTTTAGACTCACACGGAAATCATGACTCCCTCCGTTTTGCCTGAAACCCTTGGTTGACCTGTGTGGTATACCAATTAATCCGACATGGTGTGTTTGCTGCGATGGGCTCTCTGCGGGGGATTCGTTATATCCCTTGTAGACGCAATCTTTGCAGCCCGCCCTCAGGCCATCGGCATTGATATTGGGCCCGATATGATGTGCGTGTCGAAAATCGCTTTGATGAAGCCGCCACCCTCCCCTTGTGGTGACTATTGACCAGAATCCTAGAACTGTCGCACATGCGTCTAGCAGTGATAATGTGACGTTGCCAGCCTGTATCATACCTGAGCTGGGCGATCCCTTCAGCAGCTATCTATTACGGCTGCGACTAGAATCATGGAGCGACGACACGCACGCCCTATATGGCCGGAAGAACGAAGGGACCTCCGGCATTTCCAATGCTGTGGCAAAGCTGTTTGCAAGGCTCGTATCGCCCTTGACCTATTGTAGCCATGACACAGCGAATCTGTCTTGGGTACGGCAGTGCGTCTGCAGTGCTTGGCACGACATCACAGCTCGGCTTCGCAGCTCCAAGAGGTCGGAACTAGTGAATTTCACGCTGAATTATGTGAAGGATGCGTTTGTCGATATCCTCACGCGGTTGCAGGAAGAGGCACGCACCAAGCACAACATTGATATGCAATCGGCGGTCATCGCCCTCCCGGACTTTTTCAACCAAACCCTGGTGGATTTGTTCCTCGAGGCGAGCCGGAAGGTTGGCATCACGTCTTTGGTGGAGCCCATGAGCCGGACGGCCGTATCAACATATAGCAGTAATGGGACTCCACGAGAGGCGGACGGGAAATATCTCATTATGGACCTAGGACACTTTTATCTGGACCTGCGAAGTCTCAATGCGAGTCCCCGGCAATGGCCCGAAATGGGCACTTCCCCATGGACCCCTGGGGAAGTGCCGGTCTCGATCGGGATATAACCCGCTCGGCCATTGAACGATCGAAAATCCTACAGACTTGGCTTTCGTTCGGTGGATCCAAGGCCGCTTTGCAGGGAGAAGTCCGGAAGGCGCGTGTGCTGATACGAGATAATATTGATCGCGAAGTGCTGGCCTCAGCAGGGGGGGCCGAGGACCACCAGGACCATCACCATAACGAGTACCCTCTGCATCTGAAGGACCCCGACACCACCGCTGTGCTATCATGGGTTGATGTCGAAGCAGCAGAGATGAAATATATTCAAAGCATTGCGCGGACTGTTCATAACTATCTCATTGCTGCGAGTACGTTACCAGTGGGCCGTCTGGGTAAAATTGTTAGCTGACAACTGTGTAGACAATCCTACCGGAGATATTCGGGATGACATGATCGCTACCAAAATTGATAAAGCGTTTATCTTGACGAGTGGGTTTGACGAATCATTAATCAAGCAGAGCCTTGAATCTGTTCTTAGTGATGTTGAGATCATAGGAGGACGGCTACGAGACTGCTATCTGGCGGCCGAGGGCGCTGCTCAAGTTGGTTTATTATACCAGCAGGCATGGGACCAGAGACAGCGGCTATTATTGGAAAAAGACGAATTATAGTACTATATGGGGTTGTTTCAGTGACGAAACTACGGTGTCATAGCTAGGCGTGGTTATAACGATCGACCCTTTCAGAGTGATAATCATCGAGGAAATCAAGATACAGCGTTTGGTCTTCCTGTGCTATATAGATTACAGTCGACTCATCTCAGCTATGTAGAGGAGGACCCGTCCTGTAGAAGGTCTCAATCAAATCCCGCAAAAGAGAATATTCTATGTCTCGGGTCGACCTGAAATCTGTCAACCCAGGGCTAATCATGACGCCCCATTGTGGTTCTGTCTTTCCTCGAAATTAGGGCCTTACTAAATCACAACCGACTCCACTCCCTGTCTTCCTAACGATTTTCTTAGATCCCTTACCTGCTAATACTGTTTCTACACTGAGCCCTAACTCTTCCACATGTCCAGATTCCTAACTGAATCTATACCCAGTATACGGCACTATATACCAAGGTATGTATGTATCGAAGGGATCAACTCATCATTCGCTACGACTCAGATGGTGTGTTTGCAATCTATGGTGCCTTTTTCCCTCCGGATATTGCCAGCAATATTGTCCTTCGTGGCCACATGGAGGCCCGGGACATCGCATAGCACGATACACATCACGCCAGACGGAAAGTTGGCCAGAGACCTACTTCGCGTCGATCTGAGCGTCTCGGTAAGCGAGCATCCGTACAGCCACCGATGACTTTCCTCTCTTATCTATTCCGCAAGGAAGAGGCCCGCTGTCCTCTATATAGTTAATCGATATCTGAAGCCGGTCTTCTTGCCACAACGAAATAGATAGGCCTGAGTATTATAATAAGCGGATTCATAGGTAGTCTGTAAGGACAGTACGCAAGTCACTATTTACAGGTCGGATATCGAGTAATTCCCCCAGATCGACTTAGACATAGTAGCAGAAGGGAAGGAACAGATCACCAGATTCTCGAAGGACTCCGAAGCTCTAGTGTTTAATTTGTTTACATTTTCATGGAAAATTCTAGTTCTCTTGGATTGCCAATACGGTTGCAAGATACGGTACTGTATTTTAATGTAAGTAAATCAGGGTATCAAGACTGCTACAGGAATATTGTTATTCCGATTGTCTTCCTAATATGGTTTAGTGTCTCTTGGCAGTGGGGCTAAATAGTCACTTAAAGAGTGTAAACGGTTGCACCAGTTTCGGGACGTACTGTACCACCACCCCCAATCACAGCCCCAATATCAATACCACCCGGGCCACCTGGGCTACGCCCACCCCACTTTGCTGGTGCATCTTCTCCAGGGAGCGCAGTTGCAAAAGCACATTACACAAAAGCAAGAAGCGCGAAACGCATTTTTGTAAAGCCGTATACTTGGACGACAAAAAAATTGATAGAAAAAGAATGTTAGTTTGAACCGGTGGTACTGCTCGTTGTAACGAGGAACAATTTGTCCTACCCTTTCAGCGGAAGGGGCTATATGTAGTGTGCTGACGGTCATTCATTAACTATCTAAGTTATGTTATTACAAATGGAATGCTTGGATTGTTCACTGGAATGTGAATAAATTATATTTTCTGGAAGTCTAGGGGTTTATGGTATGCGCATAAATCCTAGCAAAATGTTCCATGTAGGATCTGTTTAGTCGCCTATGCGTGCTCCTTGCCTAGGCGTCCTATCCCACGGAACGCCCTAGCATATTCTCTTCGTGTTTTTGTACCTATATTCCCAATATTACCAAACTTCTATTGAGTGGGAGAGAGACCAAATACAAATTCGGAAGAGGTATCGAGTTTTATTCTACCAAGAACATTGTATTATATTCCTATTCTTTATTTTATCCGAAGCAGCCTCCGTTCAGTGAAATAGCAAGCATTAAGAACAGTGTATATGATTAACTATTGTAGTTCAGAAGAATGATTTCTCTTATCCATTTTAGTAAGAATACGTGATCCTATGTATACAACGAGAAGGCCAAATTCAAAATCAGCTTGATGCTTCGTATATATATTTCGGGAATTATTTCTTAGCTGCAAAACAAATGAAGTGAAGAAGAGACTCTCTAATGCCCCAATATTCGGTGCCAAACAGTACCATTCAAGGAAATGTGATACAAAAGGTATAGCGTAGTATCTTTGTGCCAATACAGCTTGCATTTCCTTTATACATTATAGCGAGATGTACAATGCGCCTGTACCAGCTACAGTATGAGTCGTTGGATATAGGGTGTTGCCCAGGACACGACAGTTGGGCCAGGAGCTCGCACAGGCGGCCAATCAGATCCCACAGGACGCGATTCGATTGCTGGGACATTTTACCGGAATTTGTTTACGCCGAAGTATTTTTGCGCATACCAAAAACCCTACCTCCTTAGCTTCCACATTCTCGTTCGTGTAGAGAACACGCGAGTTGCGCATTCTAGGAAATATGTCTAAGCATTTTATTAATGACCGCGAGCGCACTATATATAACTCCCTCCACTAAGGGGGTAGGACAAATTGTTCTTCGTTACAATGCGCAGTACGACGACCGATTCAAACTAATATTCTTTTCCTACCAATTTTTCTATCGTCTAAGCGAACGCCTTAGCAAAATTGCGGTTCGCTCTTACCATTTTGTGCTGTGCTTTTGTCACTGCGCTCTCCGCAGAAGATGCCCTGGAAAAGTGAGGTGGACCCAGAGGTGGAGGTATTTCCAACGGGGGGGGGACAATATTGGCAATGGGGATGGTGGTGATATTTGCATGAAAACATACTAAGATAACGGTTCATTAAAGTGTCGAAAATTAGGTGACCAATCAGGTTACTGCGACAACGGTAGTGAATCTCCTGGTTTACTTGGACTTATCCTTGGACAAACGACGCCGTTAGCGTCACGATCGTCCTGGGATTGATTGCTAGAGCCATCGGAAAGCTGATATGAAATAGAAGCTGCATTTGCATACCAACAACAGATTGCGATCCTCCTTCTTCGTCTTGTAACGGGCAATGTGTACGACGGCGGCAGACTGCATATTTTGTGACGACGACTAAGTGGTGCTCGATAGTGCGCGTCCGGACTGAGCTGTTGCAATGGGGCCTGCACTAACCTCCAGAACACCCCCAGTAACTGTGGCACTTGTGGGAACATTGTGCGTTGTCATCCGTTGCCGATGGAGGTGATATCGCTGACATTGAATTTTACAGTGCGCAGCAGCCCTCAGCTGCTGCAGTGGCGCCTGCACCAACCTCCAGAACGATCCAAGTAACTGTGGCACTTGTGGGAATACTGTAAGTTGGACTTAACCTTCATCCTTCTGGGATGTTTGCTATTTTATCGATGTTCCGATTGCTAACGTGATCAATTTTCACGCCTCCATAGTGCCCTGCTGGATCAACTTGCTCATCAGGCACCTGCACCTGCACACCTTTCCAGGCTTTCCAACCGCAGGCCACATTCCCGTGGGGTCTACTCTGTTCGAAGTTGTATTAGGTGACTTCAACGGAGATGGCTATCTCAATATCGTGACTGCGAATCAGGGCGGCAATACGGTGAGCGCCTTTCTCGGGACTGGATCTGGGAGCTTCCAGCTGCAGGCCACATTCGGCGTGGGGACCATCCCGGTCGGTGTTGCAGAAGGCGACTTCAACGGAGATGGCCAATATCCAGATGACCATCTCCGTTGAAGTCGCCCACTGCAACACCGATCCGGACGGACCCCACGGGGAATGTGGCCTGGGCCTGGAAGCCCCCCGATCCAGTTCCAAGCAAGACGTTCAGTGAATTGTCGTAGAAATTCGTCTTCACAATATCGAGATAGCCATCTCCGTTGAAGTCGCCTACTGCAACACCATCCGGGCCGGACCCCACGGGGAATGTGGTCTGCGCTTGGAAGCTCCCGGATCCAAGTGGAGCGGCATATCGAATATAGTTCCCTAATTGTGATCTATGGTCATACTCAAGGCTGTTGGTTCGTGCGGCGTTGATAGTTCAGCAATGAGAGTTCAAACTTGATGCCTCCATAGTTAGGCTTAGTATTCCAACGGTAGGCTAACGACTGAGGCTTGATAGGTATTTAAACAAGCCCTTAATTGGTAAAGTGGTTGAATTATATCTCAGAAATTGGACCTGTCACTCATCGAACATTGCCAACGCCGGGCTGTTGTATTGAGACAATCTCGTACTTTGTAACCAGAGCACAATGGGTCTGAATGCTCGACTCACTCCATTCATTCTATGCGCGTTTCCATGTGCATGCGAGAAATGTCTGTTTCCGCAATATAGATGGTGATCTACAGAAGTTGAGGGTTGGCTAAGGGGCTGAACCCAGCGAGGGGGCTAAAGAGTAAGCATCTTAATCTGCTCGTTACATATTTGAGGGCTGAATTCCCTCAAGAGGATTCGAAGGCTCTGCTTGAACTTTCCCATTGTATGCGTTTTCTCTGGGACGCAATTTTCGAAATGTATTTCGTCGTTCGTCCTTTTTCGCAGCTACTCGATCACAATCGAGCCCTCCGCCCTTTCACTCGGCCACGTCAGCTATCCCAGATACTGAATCTTGGAGTCTTCGCCCCAGTTGTTCTGCCTAAGCAGTTTAGCTACAACGTCGGCCATAATCTCCGGAGTAAGCTTCATCGATTTCACCGGGATATGATATGCCGCGACCCCCTAAGACGGCTCCAGGGTCACTGAGCCTGGCCCGAAAGTTCTCAACCACCCGGAATGTTTGCGAAAGACCTCTGCTCCCGCGGCACTGTCAGCGACCATCGCTAACGTAATTCCCGGCCGATCTGAACACCCGGCCGTCCTGGACACCAATGTTGTAGTTCAGAGGTATAATTTTTTTTTTTATTGTTCAGAGGGAAACATTAGGCTATATATATACAACGAGAAGAACAAGTTGATTGGAAATCAACTTGGTTCTTCGTATAGATATCTCGGTATTAATTCCGATGATTCGGCTTGGTTCCTGATCTGCACCAGCCTCATATTACAACAGAACGGGCTCGGGGCTCGAGGAAACGCGACTTAAATCCTGGGAGTAGGATCGAAAGCATGCAGAACTACGGTATCCTGTGACTCCTCAGCCAAGGTATAAGTATCCAATGTGCAGTCAAACCTGTGACCATCGTAACCCATCGGACTCCCGACTGGCGTACACCCACAAAGGACGCCTGCGAAATGACCCCCAATAGATATGTGTCATCCACGGACCTCGCCTCTGATCTCCGTTCCAGGCGCTACCTTGAGTCTGCTGTGCACAATCAAAATATTCCTACTAATTCCGAATAGCTTTCCTTGAAAACCCAAGAGGACACCAAGCAAGAACACGTTTCTATCATTTATTTTGCGAAATCGAGGAGCATGTATCGCTACTTGAAAATCATCAACAGAATCTCATTTCTGAACTCGAACGTCTGCGCAATTATTCATGGACCTTGTACCATGAGTATAATAAGGCAATGGGAGAGCTGGAGCAGGCCAAAATGCACCAGTGATCTAGACACGGATGACAAGGAACCATTCATTGCGCCGTAAATATCACTCTATTTGATGGCCATGAGGAACTGGCAACACGAATCCCTATTCTTTTCTCATATTTCATCTTCTTTCATAATCGATATTAGTTTTTTAGACTACAAGCTCTGGCAGACTTGGGCCTCGTACAAGACTGTGTCCGACTATTTGTACTGTATTGCCGGGACCTTGAAGCTGGAAATATCTATGCTGGCTTCAATCAAGACGAATTTTGGCTTCAATAGGCCAAAAGAGACCCCTATAGCCTCATTCTCATCCTCAGAGGAGTCGCAATTTATTAAGTATCCATGCGCGTTTCGCACCTTCGTAGTGGCCCCGTTCTCATTGAGGTATGATCTGGTAGCTTCGAGATCCTTGTATTGAGGACTACCAGCACTAATCAACCACGTAAGCGGCGAGCAGTACATATCATCCAGGGAATTGACCTTGGCACCGTTCTTCAGCAGAATTCTGGTGGCACCGAGAGAGCCATTCTCTGTGGCCCAAGAGAGAGGTGTTCGTTTATTATGATTAAGATCATCGACAGACTTTGAAGAAGCGCAGTGCAATCTCCCATCGCGGCATAATGAATGAGCGACTTCCTATACGGGCCTCTGGGATTACATATGCCCCTGAGTTGGATCTCGTTGTGTGTTTTATCGAGGTAATTCCCAATGTCTTTGTTCAATCGGTTCTCCCGCATATTCTTCAGACGCTCAAACTCCTTATCAATGACGCTCATGGTAGTGTGCGAAGCCATGTGAACTTGATTATATTGTATAGTATCGACACTGACGTCAATAATGACATTCCAGACGACAACCAAGCCGGGATCGCGAAATTATAGCTTTCTATTTATAGCCTGTAAAATTTGAATATTGGCATTCACCTCCAACTTTATGCCATTTTATACCTATCAGATTTCTGCCCTCTTGAAATAATGTCTGATCCAGGAATGGTTAAACGCACTCTTCAGTTATACGACCTGTATCCGAAGACTTCTTTGCCGCAGAATCATGTTGCCGACTAGTATAGCAATCCTGGACGATGCTGTCAAAAGCTAAAATGTTTCGAAGGTCGAAATAATAATGGAAACGTGACACTCACCAACGTGGAAACAATATTGCCTCACAAAAGATGAGTCTCGCATGATTGACTCCCGGGGTGATAATTAGGTTAGAAGCCGATGCCATAGAGGACAGCGAATATCAATGGCGAAACTCATTAGCAGGCCACATTAGAAGAATTCCGGGAGCCGCACAATCATCAGCCAAGATATAGGTCCAGCATGACCGCGAGCTCGCCGGTGTTAACGGAAATCTCATTCCCATGTGTCCCACCTTAAGACACGCCAGGTCAATGCAACGGCACCCAGTGCCGGCGCTTACGATACTGTTATTTCTCCAGAAGCAGAAGTCCAATGGATACACTCTTACGTATTGACTCTATGAAATATATGAGCCACGAAGATAAGGGACAGTATCGCTGCGAGGGTAGGTTCAAACTCTCAACGCTAACGTTACGACCTAGATTCGCGATCTAGCCTCTGGCTTCCCCTGACCTACCACTTGATGGGGACTTTCAGCGATTAGAGTTCAAGGTACTCGAGGAGAAACAGCATGTACAGTATAGGCTCTATGCACACATGGAAGATTTCGAAAACAGATTACCCCCGAGAAACAAACCCTTGGTTTGCAAACCTCCCAAGAACGTTGTTCAGACAAAACATCCCGAAATATCTTTCTTGTTGGTTTGAATGACGTAGCCTTTTATCAATACATTTCAAGTTTGCGATTATCAGGCCATCGCATGTCATGCGTGGATATCCCCCCCTGAGCTAGCATGTGCAGCAAGGCTCTGCAGAAGCGCAACTATCTCGATGCTCCCTCTTTTCCTAGCTTGGTCCAGGGGAGACACACCATCATTGTCCGCAATCTCGGGCACCAGATCCTGCGGCCGCGCCAGTTGACAAATTAGTCTTTTGTTGCCAGTGTTTGCTGCATGCCACAGTACCGAGCGGCCTCTCTGGTCTCGCTCATTCACCACCAGAGTCTTCAAATTTGAAAATAGAAGATGTATAATCTCGTTTCTCTTGAGATCAAGGCCGTCGTAGGCCGTGACAGCTAGAAGAAGTGCGCTATTACCCGCGAAATCTAAATGATTGACGCCAATATGTTTGTGATCCAAGAGGATTTGCATTGCAACAGGGTCGTCGTATATCACAGCCAGATGAAGTGCGGTGTATCCTCGGTCATCTTGCATGTCGATATTGAGTCGCGGATCTTTCAGAAGGATCCTCAAGATCTCGTATTGTTGATATTCGAGGGCTATCAGGATTGGAGGTTGGGATTTCGGGCTCCGAACATTGATATCAATATCATGTCGACGAAGTAACTTTTGGATGTTTGACAGGTTTCCATGCATGATAGCAAAGGACAAGGCGGCTTGTGCCCATTGGTTGGGGTAAGAGACATCTAGAGACTTGTCGCATGGCAACGGACCAACTAGACGAGAAGCTCCTTGGAGGGCTGATATCATCAGACGGGTCAGCTGCCTTTGGTCGTACTTATACTTGTATGTGTGGTAGTGACTCACGAATCATAGGTGGGAGGTGCGCCATGATTTCGAAAAGGATGAGATTATCTCGCTATTTTGATACCTCTATTTTCGCGATGTGAATAAGAGAGAGCTCGTTGCGCTATTATGCGATGATTGATTCATCACAAAGACATGCAGGGCAGTATTTATAGCGAGACTTTGTTGCAAGCGGCTTTGATCTCAAGAATATTTGATCTGCATTCACATATTTGTATACGTGAGCTCCCATAGTTGGGCTACTCCGATTACAAGTTTATTTAGAGTTCATCACATAATATTATGGACCTTTGAAGTTCTCAGAAGAGCCTGATTCCGAGGAGCAAGCGTTCTCTACTCCTAGGAACCTGGCTGTCAAGGGCTCACGTACTGTAGATCCGGATTGTGTTTTTCAGGGCATTAACAACCAAGAGTAGAAAGCCACAAGTTGATCTTAGACACAAGACTTAGCGCGAGCAAGCAGAAGAAAATTAGCTTCCTCTTGTTCAGAGTAGCATATATGAGCCGTGTGGGACCGTACCCTGCACGAATCGTGTATACTGCATGCCAGACCCTGGCACATTTTGACATAGTTCCCAGGAGCTCGATGTAAATTTTGCCTTGCGCAAGCTCAAATCTGATGGCGAGGCAAATATTCTACTGCAGACCCAATAGGTGCGGCTCGCGAGCGACTGTAGGACAGAAGGGTTGGTCTTAGGTCTGTTGCATCTTCCAACCTTCCTTGGTAATCTCATACAACACTTCACCATGCTCACTACCAGGCAGCGGATCCTCAAAACTAAGATGGAACGTCCTTGCACGTCTCATTCCACATTTCTCCATCACATGCCGAGATCGCTCATTGACAAACATCGTGCTTCCAATAACCCGCTCCACCATTGGGTTATGCAAAAATGCATACTCAACAAGTAGACGAGTACCCTCGGTTGCAAGACCCATGCCCCAATATTGGCGACGGAGCCGGTAGCCTACTTCAAGCCTAGCTGGCATTTCCTGCTCAGATCCTGCGAGAGAGAACCAGCCGAGAAACTCGCCTCTAGGGCCCTCTGCAATCCACCGGCCGAACTTCGGCCATCTGGCATAGTTGTTGTAGTTCAGAGGTATTAATTGTCTTATTGCTCAGAGGGAAACATTAGGCTATATATATATACAACGAGAAGAACAAGTTGATTTCCAATCAACTTGGTTCTTCGTATGGATATCTCGGGATTAATTCCGATAGTTCGGCTTGGTTCCTGATCTGCACCAGCCTCATATCACAACAATAGTAATCAATGATATGCTGAACTTCGAGATTGACTTCCTCCATTGAGGGTGGTTTATGGTCTAGATATGTCATAACACCCTCGTCGTTGTTCAGGAGACAGAGAAGCTGAAAATCATCCGGAAACAAACGACGTAGGGAGATGCGTTTTGTGGACATCAGCATTGGGTTTGATGCAGCGGCCATTGTCAGCAGAATGTCCCTGGGTTATGGTATGAACGGTCACTGTTAATCCACTTCATGCGATGGACATGATGAATTTAAAAAGGGATTACTCGCATAGAATATATAGACTGAAGGGCACTCAAAGCCTCAGTCAGAATTAACGAGAGTCCTGGGTCTCAAACAAGTGATTTGGTTCTTCGCCATTGAACTGTCCCCACAGTAGGTGGTCGGAGTCCAAGAAGGGTTAGTGCGGAACCAGTAGGCTGGAACAAAGCCCACTAGGCTATGGGCCCCAGCACAGCAAACATACGTGGATACTCATGAATGTACTGTACTCCGTACTCTGTGCACTCATTGGATGTAATATTAAGTACTTTTTTTTTAAAGTTCACCTCGAAGTGGACCAAATGAGACTTTTCCGCTGAAAAAATAGTTATGATCCTTTCCTGAAGAAAGGGAGGAGTTTTATTGGGGTTGCCTCACGTTGCCCACGCTGTCCCACGTGACATCTACACCGACATCACGGAGGGTTTCTTCCTCCTACAATTGCCTCGCAAGAGTCAGTTGCTTGCCTCTGGTGGAAGCTCGTCATCTCTCACGCAGTCAAGACTCTATTTTGTTCCTCCCTCCTCCCCTTTGTATATAGAAACCAGTATTGCAATATACATTGCCTCCCTACAAGGAAGCGCGGACAGGCCTTCTCTGACGCTACCGCCTAATGCGTTTACGCATAAGACCGCAGCGACAGGTGAACCCGTTATGACCAAACTATTCACGTTCCTGTTCCCATATTGACTGCGAGAGATCACCAATAAATATACATATTTATGACCTTCTTATATTAGCTTACACTTTGTTGAGAAATCAATTCCCGAAATGCATCGCTCAACCCCATATTTCTGGCCTTGTTGTTGTCCCACATGGATAAACCAATAGGAATCAATATACGTGTCGGTTACCCCTGAATGATAGAGGTTTCTATGCCGTTAGCATAATAAACTGGGCGACATGCATGTATTTAAAGAGAATCCCTTTTTCCCGGTTTTTTCCTGGATTAGACAAAGTCACTTATTTGATTCTCACCCATACATTTCAGTCCAATAGACCAGACAGCTCCTTTATGCTGCATTATTCTAGCCTGCTGGTCCAATTCAACATATATCACATGCCCATTACAATAGCTTGCTATTTAGTCATTCAACATAGAAAGGTTGCTACAGAAAGTCGAGCGAAATAATATATATATATTGTAAGATGGGAATGCTCGCAGGCAGTCTGTCAAGCAGACGGGTCGATCGCGAAGAGACAAGACCACCACACTCGCAGAGTGCAGGAACGAGATGGGCAAAGTGGGACGTTATAGAGAGATGATCGAGCAAACAATAACAGAACCTTTCATACGCAGTATATTGATACCGCAACCTCAGCAGCCTCAGTAGAACATTTTAATAAGGGGGAACATGCATGTTGAATTGATAATCTAGAACGAACTCTACTTATTCTCCTGAAACAAAACAGGAGCCTTGTTGCTAAGGCTTCCGTCACATGATCCTAGGGCACCGATGTTGAGAGCGGAAATCCCCATTACAATATCTACAAGGCGTCTTTCTATATCTTGCTGCTCTAATTAAATTGGCTACCATAATTTCTCTTGTTCCCGCCCGATCTACTTCAAATTTTAAACATGATATAACCATGAGTATTGGCACGTAAAAACGTGTCTATCGCACCACCTTAAGTCACTTATCATCCAGGTCACATATTGTTTACCGTGGGAATTGCGAGTAAGCAACCGCCGCGTGTAAAGGAAAGACCTATCAACTTTTCACCTTGATGAAATTGCATCAGGCGAAAGCACAGCTGAACTTTCCCCATTATGGTTTCATTCTCACTTTAATTCCCGACCCACGAGGCTACCAAGTACTGACGAGTGATACTGAAAGTATGCCATGCCTCGATCCCAGGTACCGCTTGGACTACGGACGCTATGGAGGACATCTCCGATCTAGGCCATCTTTAAACTTTCTGGTTTCCCCATCAGTTTTGATATGATGTCACGACCCATTTAGCAACCAATGAGTTCTGTACGTACAAGATCACCACTACACCAATCCCGGATCCTGCACGAACTCTAAATGCGCTTGGAAACTCAACTGCCACCAAGAGCCACCCTTTGCAGCAGCTACTTTCGACGTCTCCTTTCGACACCTCATGGCCATCATCTGCTGCACTCGCCTGGTCCCTCTGAAGCTCACAACTTTCTCAATGTTGCCAAAGTCACTATGAGGTCACTTGGTGATGGCCTGCAAAGTTGATCGAAAAGTCAACACCAATCGACCTGAGAGTATTCCCCCCCCTTATTTTACTATTCGCTGGTGGAATTGGGCGCCAGTATGGCAGGCGAAACCGGCCCTGTCGAGATATCTCGAGCCCTTGCAATGGTGATTGCAGGGTTTTTCGCTCTAGCATGTTGGAACGTCCTTCAAATCATGGTTTCAATCTTCATTACCTTCAGGCACTATCACGGCCTTTACTTCTGGAGCATGTTGATCTCCGCGTTGGGAATCTTCCTACATACGATATCATCATTCCTTCGCTACTTTGCGCTCGCTCCTAATTTCCCCATGTGTGTTCTGATTTGTATCGGGTGGTACGCTATGGTCACCGGCCAGTCCGTCGTGCTGTATTCACGACTCCATCTGGTGACTTCCTACGATCGCTACTCTCGCTGGGTACTCTGTATGATCCTTATCAACTTTTGCGTCTTGCATATTCCCACCACTATCCTATTTCTCGGAAGCAATCATGGTGTCAACAACTTCGTCGCACCCTTCAACGTCTATGAGCGTATTCAATTAGCAGGGTTCGCCATCCAAGAGACGATTATCAGCGGCCTCTACATCTGGGAAGCCATGACTACCTTGAGGCCAATTTTGGCCATGAAAGGCCCTCGAGGCCAGAGAGTTGTCATAAATCTCATTCTAGTCAACGCTATCGCAGTCTTGCTAGATGCTTCTCTGCTGACGACCGAGTACACCGACCACTTTGACGTTCAGACGACCTACAAGCCCGTCGTCTACAGCATCAAGTTGATATTAGAGTTCACAGTACTCAACAGTCTGCTCGTTGTGATTCGCAAAAATCCGTCAAACCTCGAACACGTGCACCAACTACGCGGAGAGGAAATTCACTTAGAGCCACGCTGGAGCGGCGATTGCTCTCACAATACCGCCGATTTCGACTTCTCCCCTGGAAACTCCGATCGAAGTGCTCGACCACGTTCCTCGAGAGATCCACCCCTTAAATCACATGGGCCATAGTTTAGTTGCAACTAGCATGTTGAATCTGCTTAAACTATTTGTACATTGGTTCATATGCTCTTAATGTCTTGTATCCATCACGATAACACCATTTCTACCTTATGGTTTGCCCTTCAGGTTGTGATTTTGGCTGATCGTATCACTACCACTACGCTGAGCGACTTCGGCTGTTGAAGGTGTTGCTTGGGGTTCAATATCCTAATGAATAACGATCAGATAAGAAGAGACTATTATGTGATTTGAGGAAGACTTACGGCAATCACCTATTTTATTAACGTGAAAGAGAGGTAATTAAGAATGCTCCAACGTAAGATTGAAATAACAGGACAACAAACGATATATAGATATACCAATTCGTACTGTTCCGGGTTCTCGATATTGAGCTCGACGGACGGGATGCGAAAGTCATTAGAAATGAGGCTGGACCTGCGTGTGCCTCCAGGCGTAAGGGTCAGAAATAGTAGGAAGTCTTGAAATTTTCTTCGGAATGGGGAGCCAGAGCGATACGATTCTAAGTTGGCTGGCCGTGACACTATGTTGATACCTGTTTCATTTCCCATGACTAGCTAGCATCCTAGGATACTCCATTTATCCAGCTTGCCATGAGAAATCGAAGCGGCCTGGCCATTAACCAAGTATATTCAATTCGATAGGAAACAAATAGATATCCTGTTGATATCATCTGTTTTTCAATTATGACTGCAGTCTCAAACCAGGGGCACCATGTGAAGCTCGGATTAAGGATATCTCAATCCGGTCGCCGTACCCACATGGAGCCCGAGCCACCAATTGAGAATTCGAAAGGGTGTTCCTAGGTGGAATATAACTGCCAGATCAGAGGTCGTCATGAACAGGAACGTGCAGAAAGGAGTTACATTTCCGACGCATCGGGGGTTGCTATCATGTTCATGATTCAGCCTCGCCGACAGCCACAATAAAAAAAATGCCACCAGCCGATAGTTAATTCGTGGTTTCCAAGAGCTCCAGAGCCCCTAGGGTCGCTGATATTAATACACCATTATCACAATAATTTAAACTAACGGGATGAGAGTCCGGTGAGTCGTTTCATTCCTCTAGCACCTACAGCAACATAATTTCTGCGGGTTGACGGCGGTTGATAGTCAACGTTGAACGTCGAACACCAAAAAGATATGAAACTCCCATGGAAGAATTATATTTCAGAATTTTCGATCTTATCACTTCAACAGAGGTGCTCTTTTAGTCGAGTCAACCCTATTCCAAAGGTTTTTTATCTCTTAGAGCCAAATCATACGAGGTCCCAATTCTAGCTCTCTCTGTAATTCATGCTGAAATATATCACAAATTTACTGGGATCTATGAAAGGTCAACACAAGAGCTTGCAAGTCTAACCACTTACGGTAGCCACGTGCACCCGCTCGAGAAATGGGCAGGTCTGCTAAGCCCCTTTCGTTGATCTTTCAACCCCCCCCCCCCCCGTCATCCACCAGCTTTCAGCAGCAGCATCATCACGTTGACGCATCCGTGCGAACCAGCAGCGGAAATCGGGGACTGGCTCGCTGCAAAACGGTATAGATCAATCCGTGAGTATCCATTCTGGTCACGGCAAAGATGTGGATTTTATCTCGAGCCCCTCCCACTGTTCCAATGGGCCCATCGGCCCGGCATGATGAGGAATGCACTATCGGCACTACCGGATGAATCAAAATCAGTTTTAAGACTTACTTGAAGAGATTCTTTCTCGAAAGGATAACATGACATTACAGTGAAATACAGAACACACACAAAATTTATTAACGCCCGGCGGCTGAACCGAAAGGGCAACTATCACTGATCTAAATATACATGCCTTAGCTAATGCTGTGCCTCCTGGAAGCCCATACAAGATTGCTTTCAGTGTATGTCATCTCAGATGTCGATATCTTAGCAGGTCCTTGTGGGTTAGTGTTTAGTGTTTATTAGTAGACTGGCTTGAAGGCGCTTCTTCAAATGTTCAACATCCTATACTCGGCAATTGAAGCGCGTCTACCGTCTCTGGCACAAGGTAGTTGGTAGGGTTAGATTGGGGTTGGGGGGGGGGTTGATTTGTGTTGGTTGACACGGTTAAGCGGCGTCGAGTCGGCCCGTGGCGATTGCAAACCGTATTGTGGCTCGCACTGCTTCCAAATTCGGGATCCAGTTCTGGTCATCCAAAGGCGATTTTCCGCCCAGGAAAAAAGATATGTTGCCTCGGTGAGTATGACTACCATCTTGGGCCATAAGTTTGAAGACACCGCCTAATCGGGTAATACTGCCATTTTACCCACCCTACATTCAAATATATATATTGCATGCAATATGCAATGTTATTGCACCAAATTTTGCTATAATATAGAATAATCAATTACAAAATATATAACAAAATTTCAATCGCTAAAACCGAGTATAGTAGCCACGTGCCTTACGAGTCTCGCTTACACGCTGAGGCATTGATCTAATTATACTATCAATTTTATTTTGATCTAGTACATCCCAGGCCTCCGATATACACTCTCTAAATAGCTTCCAATCTGCCTCAGATGTACCACAATGTAGTAGATTAGGATAGAGCTCATATAATTTACGTTTGAGCATACGCCACACAGGTTCAATAGGGTTAAGATCTGGCGAGCGTGGCGGCCATTCCATGACATGTATACCATGACGTTCAAACCATCGCTGAGCAACGTAGGAGCGGTGGATTTTAGCGTTATCTTGCTGAAATATATTTCCAGGTTCATAGTGTTCAATAAACCCTTTTTCAAGCGCTTTCAGGTAGGATTTCGTTGTATAACCACCTCCGCGACCTCGCTGTCCTTCTGAAAAGTCACGCTCCATAATCACAAGTTTTGTACGCCCTCCGAGCCATATTCCAGCCCAAACCATTTGACAAATATCTTTCACATGAACCTTTACTTGTACCATTCCCTGCCGGTAAGCTTCTCCTCTAAGCCGGGTAACGTATTGGCCGTTTAAATTAGGGATACGTTGAACGCTGCATTCGTCGGAAAAGATGAAGCTTTGTAGTTGGGAATTGTAGCGTTCAGCCCTCCAATTTCGGCAAAATCGGACTCTTTTGCGGGCGTTCTCCCTCGAAATTGGGATACAACGTCTTGCTCGATAGCGCTGGAGGAATTTTGAACGTAGGAATCGCTTGATTGTTGATCGAGATGGATGACTGGGTATACGGGCGCTCAGCTCACTAAGGCTTAGCCAAGGCTCACGGCGTGCAAGTAAACAAGTGTATTTGATAGTAGAGTACCTATAGACTTTAGGGGCACCTGAACGAGGCAGTGATTTGAGCGTTTGGTGCTCTCGGAATCGTTTGATTGTAGAGTATATTGTTGAGCGTGCGACGTTGAACTCAGCAGCCATTTTAGTAGGCGATACACCACATTCATGAGCGTATATAATAGCTGCGCGGGCCTCAGATGAAAGCTCACCCCCTGGCCTTCGATTGCCACTTATTTCAGTGCCAAACCGACGCATATTGGTGGTGTAGGGGGTAGTTGAAGAAGATGGGTGGGGGGTGACGCGAAATTCGCGCTAAAAAAATAGCGCGATGTCTTCAAACTTTTGGACCGCCTTTGTACATTGCAGCATTTCCGTCCGGTGTGTGGTCCACCGCCGACATCGAAAGAGGAAGTGTTCCACGGTCTCTCTGGCTTGTCCACATGCGCATTGATCCGTCTCTGCAACGTTGATTCGATAGAGGTATCCATTGAGTCTCGCCATGCCAGTCCGGAGCTGGGCTAGCACGCTTGCTTCTTTCCACGATAATCGATCATACAACTGCCGGTGTTGTTTCCTAGGAGTGCTGCATCCACTCGTTTGGAGTGTTTCCCTACATTCTCTGGCAGGCAGTTTTTGGGGACTGCTTGGAATCGTGAGATGTTCAGTGTCGTCGACTTCATCCGGGGGACCTGTGCTTGCGTGGTAGCATCCTCTTGGGTCGCGGTCCGAGCCTGCTCTTTCGCTAGGGCTACCAGTTGATTATTTTCGCTACTTGGGACCCAAGGAATGCGGATCTCGTTGCCGTGTCCCCGTAATCTCCTGATCAGCTTGTATATCTGGCAGATGTGCTCTTGGCCCGACTGCTGTCGAGAATTCTTCAGCGTGAATGCCGCCGCTTTGTTGCTGGTGAGCAGCGTGTCCCTGCACCATTTGAGTCCGCGTAGCGTGCTCAGTGCGTATGCTATTGCTGCCAATTCCCCGGAGTATGGGTTCTGCTCTGCTCTTACGCCCAGTGTGACGGAGAAGGTCTTCAGTCTCGGTTGTCGATACCGAGGTGACTGCTTCTCGATTGCCACGCCAAATCCTACTATCTCATTCCGTGCCGAACTGCTGACCGCGATCCGCATGACTCCACCCGCATCGGTCTGTGTCGCTGGTACATCATGACTATCACTCTGCACCCACTTCTCCCATGGTGCCAATGTGAATGGATTGATGGTTTCCAGTGTTTGCATCTCGATGCTTTTCAGCGCTTCTGCGACCTGATACAATGGCGAACGGTGGTATCTCCTGAGTTTCTTGATCTGAGCTGTACTCCTGCGGAGGGGATTGGTTACCGGTAGGGTGTGGGTGTCTGTCCACATCTTCACAGCTCGCCTCCAGAGCCAGCGTTGCACCGTGGCAATGTGAGCCTCCGCTTCCGCTACGCTGGTCGCAACTGTGGGAATGTCCCGACAATCGCCTGCACTCCTACCCTTTGTACTCGGTTGATCAGCCCGATGGCGTTATTTCTGAAAGCATGCATCCACATATTGGAGGCATAGTCCACCACCGGGGCTACGGTCAATGTGAATAGCTGCCACGCTGTTGCTATGGAAAGACCTCGAGTCTTCGAAGCTTCATCGCGGCCTCAAGTGCCATCTCCAACGCAACTTGTTCACATTGTCTTGTTAAACTTTGAAGTTTGGAATAAACCACCGCTTAAAGTAGAGGAGCTGGGGGTGTGTCGGGCGTATACCGGTTCACGGCCCCCGTCATCGCATCTATGGGTTTCTAAATCGAGGGTTGGTCAAGTTTGGATTTCTCTCCATGAGCCGACCTGCACAACTACCTCATCGCGAATATCACTCCAGACTGCGCGGGTTTAGGCCTTTTTTTTCTGGATGGTGGAGGCACCTTAGGTTTGGATGGTCCACTCCGAATATGTGGCACGATGGTCGGGCCCGTAGTTTTCGTGGTAGACGTGACACTTGATGAGTCGATCTGGTCGGCCTGTCGCCGTCAGGTCAGATACGGAAGCCCTCCCGGGGTGCTTCCAGGGACCATCTAGTGAGGCAGCCATGTCGGCTGTTAGTCTGAACGCAGTTGACTAGGTCGATTACGCGTGACGGCGAAAAATTCTAGAAGTAGAGCGGAAGAATCACGCGACTAGATCTCTTGATTTCCCAGAGAATATAATATCCTTTTGCTTCATGCCTATCTCAGCAGATCGAATCTCCTGGTCTTTCGTATGAGTCTTGACATGTTTCTTCAAATCATGGGGGCGCTTGTAAGAGTCGTTACAGAAATGGCATTTGTGAGGCTTGAACGGCACATGAGCCCGAACATGGGAGGTAATGTGGTACCGCTTGGCAGCAGTAAAATTGCAGCTACTCCATTGGCATGCCAAGCTGAGGTTGCTAGCGGCCTTACGGTCAACATGCCCCTCGCAGATGTGCTCCTGTGTTATAATCACAGTTAGAAATTTCGGGGCCACTGATCCGTCGACAAGCTTACATATAAGGCCTCGGCAGTGAAAACTGTTTCACTGCATCCAGCCCATTGGCAGGACAGTTCACGAAACCTACCTGTGGACGTGCCATTGACAGCCGCAGTGGTGGGCCCAGTACGGACGGCGGTCGAGGGCATAGAGATTGCAGTTGTCTGAATAGACGCGTCTTGCTCAGTGTCCATGTCAGAGGCGGAAGTCATCGAGGTCTGCCGCGTGGAACTATAAAAGCCGATATCACTTTCTGCCATGGCGCCAAATAGAGCTATGCTGACAGAAAGTCTCAACACGAGTTCAGACGAGCAAAGATGTTGGGTTGAAACCAACCAACCTTTTAGAGTGGAAATAAGTCTAACAGAGGCCACTTATTCTTGAGGATGCGGTAGGAAAGGAAATATACTATCCAGCATACGCGTACCAGAGATGAACGAGGAAATGAAGTGAGTAACTAGGGAGAAGGGTGAAAGGGAGCACCAGGCGAAGTTAGCACCGAGGCGGTGAATTCACGCGGGGTGACGCGTCGTTCATGAGTCGCGTGGGACGCTTCGGCGGCTAGTTCGAAGTCAACAAACACGTCTCCTCCATCTGGTATCAAAAACAACCTTGCATTTTTGAGATTCGCAACGAGTTATTATGACATCCGCAGCAAATGTTTTACCTTGAGCACCGCAAGACTGCTTCTGCCGGCGAGTCCGTGCACTCGGTGGTGACATTGATGAAAAGCGGTGTTCCGTCGGAGCATTCGCATGGATTGTGCATAGCAAAGTTCGGGGAGAAACGGTCATCTTCATATCAGCGATTTGGCAACATGGTCAGTCGGTTACCCAAAACTTTCAGTTATTAGAACGTATTACCAGCTTCATTCATAAAGCTGGCCATGGTGGCAGTTTTGAATCGCCGTCTGCAATGAGACACGGCCGAAGCAATTTGCCGTTGAATACACTCCATCTAGCACCAATTATCAGCAGCTGGCGCAAGATGGGTGTTCGCAACTTACCTTGCTCGCGGCCTAGATGAGATCCCCTTATACCAGCCACAATACACTATTCCGATCGCACTCGTGGGACGGCCAAACCAGGGCTGTCTTTCACTGCCCCTCCATGTCAGCATGATTTCTGGTGACTGAGGATGGTACAGACCTGCCGTCAATGAAGTCTCGCATCAGCATAGGCAAACCAAAGACGAAGTAGCAGGCGTCAGCTCGATCATGCGTACACGAGGGCCCGGGATCACTCCGTACCGCAGGGAATGGATGTGGGCCATGTCTTCCAATGCATAGCCGTTTCGTACTTGCTGTTCGTGCGCCAGGCATATCTTCAAACGTGTCAGCACAAAGTGCAACTGGAGGAGAGATTGATTGATGGTATTTGGTCTAGGTTAAACGAGGAACTGACCTGAAACGACTACTCTCGCGGCGAGAGATCTGGGGTAGATCTAGTATCGCGGCTTGGCTTGTCGCTTGCTCAGATACCACTGGGGCTTCATAGCGCGGGCTCTTAGCTCGTGGTTGGTAATTTGACGCATCACTGGCTAATTCTGCTTTTATATAAACCCTAAAAACCGTGATATCTCTCGGTTGCCGTCCATGCCAGGCTTCTCTTTGCTGTCGCCGGGGCTGCGATGGCTCGCTCAGTCTAGCATTGGACCGGGTCATGGCTGCCGACAAACCTTCGGATCTGACGTGGGACGAGGGGTTCATAGCCGCCCGAATACTATAAGCTCCTAATGCAGTGACAGTTAAGCTTTGATCGGACAGGTAATGCCGGAGAGATGAAAACACTTGGAATGTTACCGTATGGCTAATCGGAGGGCATCGAGCCCTCCTGGACCGGGCCCACTAAATACGTCGAGCGAAGGGCCGTTTCAATCAAGTGTTTCGAAGCAACGAAGGCGCAAGTATACTGAGAGTCAGTGGCTTGGCCCATCAGACTGGTATACCTGGCTGGTGCACCTGGCTAAGGACGATGGGGAATACGGCTAAGTCGTATCGAGGGCAGTATTGACATTCGCCCTATGACGAGAAAGAGACATCAGCGATATTTTCCGAAGAACAGAGAGCCACAAACAGATAGACTCCGCACTGAGGCTCAAAATGCAGTCTCGGGCATTGGGAATAGGCAGTGGCAACGCATGGGGCAACTTACAAGACATGGGCTGGCTCATGGTAAAACAATCGGCTTCCTATATAGAGAGCCGTCAGCACAGGCTAACTACTCTCAAAACTGCCATAGTGATCGAAACTTACTTCGCTAGTTACTACTGCGCGCGGGATTCTCGTTTGGTCAAGTCGGCTTGGTAGGGGATGGTTTCGATCTATTATAAACCATCAGAAGGTAGCTTATGGGGGCCCTTCTTACTCAATGTTTTCGTAACCTGGATTTATCATCGAGACCATTCCAGGCCCGTTGATTAAATTCCCAGAGGAACAGCCGAGAGGGAACTGATATTGAACATCTTCCACGTTAGCATGGTCTCAAATGATCGGGTAACTAAACTTACCTGCCGGTAACAGATTCCAGTGTCGAGCATAGACAGACTAGGGGCGATACAACAGGTCAGTTCGATCACAAGTATATCACAGTTCGGGGTCGGGTCAGTCCATACTGAAGGAGAGCAGCTGGCGAAGTCGAGAAGTGTTCGATAGTCTTTGCTCCAGGATGACGAGGGGATATTTGAGAACGACCGTTCTGCCGGCGAGAGTTCGGGTACTTATAGCATTGCACCCAACCCTTACCCTCAGATTGCAGCTGGTTCAACATTTAATCATTGATCCAAGGTAGAATTCGGAGACATCGCAGCTTTGTCTTGATGATTGAGTATATCGAAAACCCTTCCTCACTCTTGTCACCGTTTCAACACTCCCAGCGGTCCGCAGAAAAGCGCCGATGACACGTTTCAACATTCATCAACGTGGGTCTGTACTTTACCGTTACAGGAGGTGGCACAATAGCGGCCATTATATTCACTGATCATGAACACTTATTACGCTGATCAAACGCTGAATGTTGTTAACATCGTCATCGTCGTCCTTGTTTGGGGTTCTGCGCGAGATCGAGGTCCGGGTTACATTTGTGTGAGTGCCTTCTGTATACGCATTAAGGTATCTCCCCGTTTTAGCATCTCTATTTTTTTTTTCTTTTTTTTCTTTTTTGATTGGTTCCTGCTATCGCTACGGAGCAAAACTGCTGCCACTCATATTGATTTTTGGTGCTGCTATTTAATTTCCCGAGACCCGTAAACAACCGGCTTTGCTCAATTATACTTCTGAGCGATAGACGAGGCTCGCAGCTTATTATTATCCGGAGGTGATTTTCTAGGGTACTTTGCCAGCCTGGGCAAGCCATGGCTGAGAGGTAATATCCTACGATCCGGAAATCCTTTTCGGGGCCGCTTTGGGCGCGACGATGTACTCATTTCCCACGAGATAATCATATGGGGATCTCCGCTCGAGTTCGGACTGTTGAATAGTCCTCAATCAAAACACCGAGTTCAGTATTTGAGGCAAGACCTATTGCAAAGTACTAAACGATACTCTTCTCTATAAACCGTCTCTCTAGCCTCGAAGAAATACGGGTGATCAGTCGTGGCTTACCGTGGCCTTATTATTCCTGGGGCTTCTCAAGACTAAGAACATCTCAGGACAGTCATCTCAGAATGAGAACTCTCTCAAAACAGCTCTCTCATTCCAGTCCTTCTCCCAGCTACGAATCATGTATATGGAGACTGACCAGTTCCACACCCACGACTGCCAAGGTTGCTTCATATTGTGAAGCCATATATTCCGCGAGGAGCTGAGACAGGTCTCCTATTTTGTCAAAATCATGGGAGGCGGTGGGGTTGCTAGTCCAACGGACCAGGCACAGCCCTCAGTTCTCCGATAAGGAATAAAAGCAATTGTCACAGTGGCCAACAATGCTGGGACATACGTACCAGCCACGTGTATACGTCGCAAGCGATCTAGCAGGCCATTAGGCAGGGAGTCAAAGGGATCGAACATGGCAATCTCCTCGATTAAAAAGCGACAATGATGACGAAGGACTATGGCGTCTTTCTTACCCCCACTTTGGTAACTTATGCGGCCATGGCTGCTCCAGAATTTAGCGGGTTCCTTCCCCTAGTCTCTGCGAAGAAGAACCGCGCAGGCTTTGACAAAAGCTTGCATGCTCTGGGCCTCGCCAGTAAGATTGGGGTGAATATCTGTTTTGGAACGGATCTATTGGGGCCCTTGCATTACGCCCATAGTAAAGACCTCGCCATTCAGAGCACTGTGCAGTCAAATTTGGAAATCCTTCGAAGCGCTACTACCACTCCTGCCCGGGTGCTGGGACAGGATAGCTTCCTCAGTTAGATTGCGCCTGGGTTTGCCGCCGACTTGCTCATATGAAACGCAAACCCTTTGGATGATATAACTGTGTTTCATCGGCCTGATGACCATTTGCTGGTAATTATCAAGGAAGGTCGTGTCGTGTCTTCGGGTTGGAATTTATTGTAGCTCGAAGCAAGCCCTCAGTCAAAGATTGAATAAACTAAATGGAGGAGGCAAATCAAGTTGAGCGGTATTGGAATCATTCTGGAAGGCCGGGAGGTGATTCTCGGGAACAGAATGAAAGCGGGGTCTGTGGTCTTTCTATAAGCGACGCTCCTCTATGTCGCTTCAATGATTGGCTTTCAGGAAAATGACTGAACGAAACTCCTCGACCCAGAACGCCTGAACCAAAAGGGTGTCGTGGGACTTATGCTGCAGGAATCTCATCAGATACAGACAATTTAGAGGCTGGGAAATGAAACAGGTTAACATAGCGTAGGCCCTTGCTATTCCCTTTGTAAAGTCAAGAAGTTGTCCCTTGAACAGCAACTCACGATTCCGAGTCAGTCACGTACGGATCGCCTCCTCTGTGCTTGTACATATGGGGTGGGGGGGATAGCAGCCCTGTATGAAGGACGTATACACCCAACGTTGAGGCTTCCCGGAGGAAATCACGTTCCCTGACTGGGCTTGTGAGGAAGTGAAAAACATTAGAATGGGCACTAGGTTAGAGATCTACTGATTTATCGAGATAATTAGAATGTGCCTCCTGTCTGTGCTCCTGTGCCCAATATTGGGTAGGTGCACGACATTTCTGGCCGAATGGCCTGTGGCTAAGAATGATGGAAAAGAAGTTTATGGAAACCCCTGGAAGAAGGCTCCAGGATTAATTTATATAAAAGTTTGACTTTGAGAGCAGAGACAGTGTTTCAGTGTCAGAGAGCGTTCATATTGGGGAAATAGTGGCAGATATGATTAAGTTCAGATATATGGATAGCCCTAAAGTCTAGCCAGGTCAGTATTGCTGATATACTTGCGAACGAAAAGCGGAGTGTTGTTCCAGTTGCTGGTACCGTACTTCTATTATTTCTAATCCATTGGACTAACCTCAAAGAAACCATGTACTTCGCGCTTACAACTCATCACCGCTAATCCTATTAAGAAAATCAGAATGAGACATGCTTTTAGTCCATTATTGTGGGTGAAGTGATGGCGAGGCTGCGGTCCGATGTAAAAGGACTTGGGTGCTCATTTTTCTGTAGCATGGACTACCGTATGATTCGCAATCGGTTTCATCTTCAATATGTCTCTTCGATCCCGGGCTCCACTAGTGTCCTTCTCAACGCAACATGATGATCGTGGGCACGACCGTTATGAAACTATCAATTATTTGGGTATGGATTATTAGAAATACTATTAAATTAACGAATACCTCATAGGCCCTATTCTAGATGAAATGGGCTCCTGGGGCTGACCAAAAACCCAGCGTTACATTTCTTTTGATGAGTGCTTTCTTGGCCCTCGTCAACCTATGTGAATTAGACAAAATCACAAGTCGGGAAAGCGCTCTGCTATAGATTCGCCCTTTACAGGATCCAGTTCATCCAAACTTAATCTGCTTGCGAGCAACATCAAGCTGTAAAATCTCAAAATTTTTGCGGTCAAGTCTATAATCAAAGTTAAGTTATGGGTACCATGCATTAATAGAGCTCAGACTGTGATTTCTGATCAGCTCTCACATAGGTCCCATATAACAAGTACTGCAGATCCTGTCCGCCCATGCGCACAGAGTGCAAATTCGGTGACTTCTTATGACCCTAGGAAAATGCCATTAAACAACTAGACATTCGAACAGGATCAATAGAGATATTCGACAAGATCCCGGCCTTTGCGAAGCGCATTGTAGAATTCTATACAAATGAGATCCTTTCACTGCATGTAATCGAGTGAAGGTACAAGAGTGGGACATTACCTTCATTGGATGTAATTCTTGGAGAGTCAGGGAAGGATGTGGGATGCTGGAAGCCCACCAGGCCGGCAGTAATCTTGAATTTCAGATTAGTGATCTATCAATCCACAACTTGCATAATTTAGCTCACTTGATAAAAGGCTATATCAGCCCTGACGAGTGTCTCCTTTTCTCGAATTCTTTCCATCAACTCCTGTAGTTGTGCTAATTTCGGCCACAACTGGTAACTTCGTAGGTGATTCCGGTTTAGCAGTCCTTTGCAGTTATAAAATTTGACTGAGCTGGAAGTAATGGTATAATTCTGCGCGACCAGCCATGTAATCAAGTCGATATGAGCGAGTAGTAGATATGTTGCATGGTCAACACATCGAGCATCGGAACGTGCCCTATCAATCAGATGGCCATCATTCAATGCATTAGGGCTGTATTGTGACAAAGCCTTTTGGACTTTTTTCGTATTCAGCTTATTGTTTCGAAGACAAGTTGAGATGGATTGTGTAACGTGCCCTACACTCTCCAAAAAGTTGCTGGCTTCGAAGTCTGGAGTGGAGGTCATAGAAATAATACAGAGGCAATCTGCGGTCAGTAGAAGTATAATGTTTGTGTGTGTGTGAAAGTTTTGAGGTGTTGGTGGGGTTGGGATGATTTCAATGCGGGCTGTACATATTCAGTAGCCAAGGCTTATTTTTGGGGTAGAAAATTTACCGCCTTCTGGGCCTTGGTTCCCTTAATTAGACCTTGCAGCGATAAGGTCTAGATGTGCCCAGACCAAGCTTCGCCCCCAATCCTGCGGCACCACGGATCATTTTTAATTTACCATGGTTATAAGCAGTACTTGATAGCGCGGATCCTCCCCAGCCACATAAAGGAACAGCATTGCGACACGACGCTTGAGACTCGATGTGGCAAATAATTATGCATGTAGTCCGTCAAAGCTCACTTGCTTTCAAGTTCCCGTCAAAGCAAATCAATTTGACTTTATTTTCTTTTACTTTCCATCTCTGCCTTTCAGTTTCATCGATTTATGGCGGATTTGTGCAACGGGCGCGTCTTCCAGTCCAGTGCCCAAAATAAGGAACGGAGCGAAAAGGTTTACCACCATAGTTTTACACAAGGCTGAATTTAAGCGCTTGCTTGGAACCCATAATAATAATAATCATCATAATCATCATCATCATCATCATCATCATCATCATCATCATCATCATCATCATCATCATCATCATCATCATCATCATCATCATCATCATCATCATCATCATCATCATCATCATCATCATTATCATCATCATCATCACCATAATTCCAAACACCTTTTTTGTTTCCTTTTGCGAGTCATACTGGGTAACCATCTGGGCCTTGGGTTGGGTTGTCCGTGTTTGGCGCCTGCCAGGTCCAGGTGTATTGCTGTCTGACGTGATACACTCGTCATCGTCATTGCCATTTGATAAGGATTTCAAAATATGGCGCTATGCAAATTTGGAGCTGAAGCATCTGAAGGTATTCTCAGTCGCCACACCACTATGAAGTACAATAAGTGCTTCTTGCCTAACGGAGCAAATCAATGCAATACCATCATTTGGGGAGGGGGGGCGCCGAACTAGATCTGATTGGCTCATGGCCTTTTCGGTTCGGGCTATGTATGCACTTATCCTGTCGGCGCATGGAGTCGTATCTTACCACTAGCAAGCGATTGGTTGGTTACCCAGGAACCCATGTTTCCTTGTGTTTTGTATGGTAAATTGGTGCAACTCGCAATCTCGGTGTAATAACCACCGAGTATGGTCATATTCCGAGGGGATTTCAACCTGCCCTCGAACGCATGTTTTCTATTTCAATCAATCATTCTTTTGATCCTGAATTGGTTCCGCTTGATCTCATTTGTCCTGAATGCATACTAGTCCATACGCTTTTAGCTTCTTCTGACATATTCCTTATCATGTGAAATGAAGTTGCAGTAAATCAGCATCGCTAGGAACTGCCAGGAAACTTGTATTCACGATACATTGAGTTACTGTAACGAAAAATTATCGTCTTGTAGCATTTTCCAACCCATGCTTGTCTCTTGGGAGTCCTGATTTGTTGATCCAGAGTGAGGAGGGATGCGTTCTTGAGTCTTGAATAGCCTTCATTTTCTGGCGCACTCTCTTCCCGGCACTCTCAAGGGCAGCTCTTTAATTGTGATCTCTACAGTGATCTGGACCATCATGGCATTGAAAAACACTTAGTGGACGCTCTCTTAGTGGACGCTCTCTGGAATATGCTGCTCGTTTTCCTGATGGTACCCTCGTTCGCTGAAATAGCGTATTTCCAGTAGGGCCACGACGATGCCATGGCCAGTGGCTTTCATTCAAAAGAGGTTCACTCTCCCCTCGTATGCCGTCCTCCAAGGTGAATGGTAATTGAAGATCCCGCGTAGTATGAATGTTTCATCAATTTATGCAATTGCTGCTGGAGGCTGCTTTTAGCTCTCTTCCTGATCCAGGCCCGAACCAACCTGACTACCTGGACCGAGTCGTTTTCTTGTTTGATCTCTCGGCACCTCACACTTCCTGTTCTCATCCACAGGCATCGAATTTGGGGCCCTTAGTCCCGAATGAATGTTCTCATTTAATCTGGTGCCAACTGGCAAGGAGATAAATAGGGGTAAGACATCCATAGAATTCAGGGAATCAGACCTTTGCCCTCAATCCGAATCCTCCATATTGGAATCAAATCAACCCTTCTCCCCAGCGATTATTTCAACCAAAGTCATCGCCGCCGCCATGCTTTTGATCGCGATCACGTGACATTATCGATGTATACGTGATCGACTCGTCATCAGCATTGCCACTTGACAGGGATGTCAAAACACGGCATGTGCAAATTTGGATTTGAAACATCTCAGTATTCCAAGTCGCTATATCACAATGAAGTACAATCAGTGCTTCTTGCCTAACGGGCAGCGGATCAATGTGAACCCATCATTTGGCGGGTTTAAATTTGCTGTCGATGACGACAGCCTTTACGGCTCCTTTCCACCAGGGTGGTCGATATCTCTCTATACCGAGAACTTAGATGAGGGAAAGCCATCCATCAACGAGGACAGTCAGTCTCCAATCAGTCATGACTCTCCGTTTACGAAACCGACTCTCCTTGGCGATGTATTACACCTTTCTTCAATGTCGACGCCATCAATTAACGACACGAAGCCTGAGAGCGCTGTTACCAGACAAGTGGCCATGATATTATTTGCCACCTTTCTCTGGTATTTCCAAGAACCTGCACCAAACCGGCATGTACCCACGTCCAAAGGAAATGACATACCAGAAATAGCCAGAGCTACAGGAGAGTGGAGGCTAAGAGTTAAAGGAAATGGCCTTCTTAGCGGGAAACACCGAATGCAAAAACTCGAGAGAATGGGCCTAATTGCGACTGCCGATCCTTCAGTGGGTTCGCAAGAGAATCCAGAGACATTTTACGAGATGTTCATTAGTCAAAGAGCGTTCTGGCAATTGGATCCTTCGATCTATCTCTTTACTCTAACCCCGCCCCGCTTTCCTGACATCGATGAGACCCGGGATTATCTCCCATCATTGGATTCTTTTGGAATTGGGTTCCCCTTTGGCGCTGGGCCCCATACTCCCGGTTCCCTCATGCCATCATACTACCCTCCTATCCCACTTCAGTATATATTTACCGACGGCCTTCGCCATCCAATCCGTCCTAGAGCTCCACGGCAAGGGGAGGTGTTTTACACCAGGTTCGTTCCCAGCCGTAGTCAAAACCTGACTCTCCGCATACCTGTGGTCCCGATGAAAGGCTCATTGAGGACATATTCCGCAACAGAACAACCAAGCAATTGGAATGGCCCGGATCTACGCCTTGACTCTGAACTTATAAATGACTTGAAGTTGCTTCACCGATGGATGAACCACTATCCAACCAACACAAGCTTGATCCAGACGGATTCTTTAGATGCCCAGATGGAAAATCTCAAGACTTGCATGTCAAGCAAATCATCTTTTCCTGCACTAGCATATTGGGGCTCGACCGCAATTGGCTATTTGGAAATATTCTGGGTCCTCGAAGATCGCCTTGGTCGGTTGCGGGGCAATATAGGGGACTGGGATAGAGGTGTCCGGTTCTTCATTGGGAACAACGACTTTAATGACCTGAAGAACCTGGCGCTCTTCTTGAGCTCTGTGGTTCATTACTGCTGGCTATGCGATCAGAGAACCTATTCCGTCTTGGTAGAGGTTGGAGCAGACAATGAAAGGTACGTCGACAGGGTAATGGGCCTTCCAATAAATTTCCAATTTGGCAATCCCAATTTTGTTAAGTTAGTACTGATTTATGCAACAGGTTCATTTCATGTCTACAAAACATCGGTTTCTTCAGAGAAAGCGAAGTGTATATTTCCCATGAGCATGCCGTCGTCATGAAAATTAAGCGCAGTTTGTGGGTTGCGCCTATTAACTGAAATTGTCGATCTGGGAAGTGGTATTTTACCACTACAGACAGGTTGATTCAGCGGCCACCCCAATTCCCCATACGTTTTGTATGGTAAACCAGGTCAATGCGCAATACCTGAGTTGTAACATGCCAATACAGTGGAATTTCATAAGTTTGCGGGTCCTCTCGATTATGTAATATTCTGCCAGTATCTGACGTGGGGAAAGCGGAAGCTTTACATCTTGACCGCGTTGATTTTTCCCTCGGAATTTAATAATGGCATGGGACCAATGAACGTCAATTCGGCTACGCAAAAGTCAACATTGAACGCTGAAATTTCAATCGCAACCAAGGTGAACCGCACTATCCAATGTTTCTAACATAACCTAGAAAACGCCCGATACCCAAATGCCTCAACGCCAACCGGATTCTTTCTATATTATTTCATAAATAGGCATTGCTTTCTTCATATCATCCATCTAGCCCCGAATATCGTCTGCGAAACATCGAGTAATACCCACATTTACTCTCTTGCTGATGAAGAACTCAAGGCCAAGACCATTCTCGAGCATCACGTCACAGATTTGTCGAAATGCAGCCTTGAGGGTATATTAGTGACATTTGACATCTACCGCTTACCGTATTCCTTGACGGCTTCGTCCCTAGATCCGGGAATCTCGAGTGTGCTTAAGGTCTTTAAGTCAATAGCCGCCTTAGTAGCCGAGATATCCAACCATGGGGCGGAAGACTGCAAGGCCAGAGCATTGATGCGACGGGAACTTCGAACGAAGAACGAAGTTAGGTGGTGCATTCAGTAGCATGTCGGCCTTGTTAGGAGGTTCTGGGGAAGAAAGAAGAGATATATGAAATCTCCCAAGAGTCGTCGCAACAATATTAGCAAGGTTCTCTCCAGAGTGGCTGCCTGTGATTTCAACAAACTCAATACAAGCTTGATGTTGCTGGAAAACAGATGACATCCAGTGAGCATTGATTACTAGCATTGGTAATGAGTTCTGGCTTGTCCAGCCATCAAGAGACAACGCGATTGAGGATGCCGAAGCCATCAAGATTCGGAGTTCACTGTCAAGAGCATCAAGCCGGAGATTTAATCGGCGCGAAACCGTGTCCGCACCTGGTATAGACTCCTCAAAGTCCATGGAACTCAGCATAGCCTTGAATGAAGGTTGCTCGACACATGTAAACGGCTGACAGGTAGATATAATCCAATCCAAGATAGCCTCTTCGAATGGGAGCTTTTTTTCTTTGGCAATCCATGAGCTTAACGGCCCTTGGCGCTCTGAATGACCGTCCTGAAAGAGCTTGTGGGTTTGCTGCAGGTATTGTTTCAACGCTGTAGTTGAAGATCGTAGTTTTGATGCAAATCGAAAGAACCGACATGTAGATGGTGATACAATACACCGATGTTTAAGCTCGGGCCGGTCTTTATCTCCTAATCTCCACGTACCAGATTCAGGTGTTGTTTGGTAGTATTTCCACACCCAGCTACGCTCTTTCAACCTCGTCCCGTCTCTCTGCTTGATTTCGACACCCTCGATCTCGCATTCAACCTGAGATACTGATTGTGAAGGGCCTATATCCGTATCAAGATTCGATAAGCTGATAGAAACGTTGCTGGGAGCGGTCGGAGAGGTTGAAACCGGAGTAGTTGGTGAGTTGAGGGCGGACCGGACCGCCGTCTTTTTTCGAGGTCGTGGAAGTGGGGTATCCTCTGCAAGGAGGCCATATTTATGAAGCGCTGCATAATCGCGTTTATTCTTCCTGGTGTTAGGACAGTCGAATGTGGTTGCAAGTGGAGAGGACATCTGTACGGTTACCTTAGTATATCATGCTTGTGTCATAATTTGTCGCTTACTTTGGAGCACCAGAAGCGATGGTTTTCAGTACCTTTTGACCAAGATTTGGATGTTGCTCGTGGTAAATGCACGTCCGCGCCGAGACGCGTTCTTTTAGGATCTCCGCTAACCCGATTAGACTATCTATTCACTCTACATTGTATATAACGTGCAACTACTGATATTTTGACTTCATATCAATAGACTACGTGTATCTTAATACGGTCTATAAGCTGATGCAATTTGAAACAACCCAGAGAACAGATAGGATTACAGATTTGTTGGGCGATCTTGGAAGGTAAATATTTTGGATAAAGGGTTGGGGCGAAAATTGGTATCTATTGCTACTGCTCTAAAGCTTGTTCAATCCAAGCGCTCTGACAGCGTAGCTACCTTTGAGCTTGTTAATTGACTAATTATTAAACTAAATACTGCATGTGATGTCGATTGCTGACCATCGTGTAGAAAGAACAACAGATATGGTACGATAAAGTCGGACGTGATTTACCGCTTTCCAAATAAGGGTTTAGTACAAAAAGTTCGCGAACTCCGAATCGAATTCGAATCGGTCTTCAATTCGAGGTCGTACGAACCGTTATTTTCAATATTAATTCGATTCGTGCGGAGCGGTATATGCCATTTGCAACTCTTAAGGCAACACGGCGGGTGCAGGTCGTAGTCTGCTTGTGAATGGGAACCTCAAGCCTGGGCACTGATGTTTCAGGAATCGGTGTGGGGTTTACCTGCGGTGGCGCATGCCCTAGATTTCTTGAACATTGTAAGTGGCCAGAATGCCGTGCAGGAGGGTGCGGAGAAAATTGACGGTTCGGGGGTTGATTACGTCAGTGACGTCAATGGCCGCTTAGGACTAGTTAATGCCAGTCGCCACAAGTCGATCACCACAACTGGGGAAACCTTTGTGACAATCAACGAATTTATCATAATGACCCGCAAAAATCTGTCTGATGAAGACCGAAATCAACGGGAACTTGGGAACGTTAATGTCTGGGTACTCGGCTCGAGTATTGGCTCCTTGGCTTCTGCAATTTTCTTGATTCGGGATGCAAAAATACCTGCTCCTCAGATTCATCTCTTAGAGTCCCGGGGAGCACCAGCAGATGGACTGCCCACCACAGGTGATGCGGTGAGCGGTTATGACCACCGATCTTCATGCCTGCCTATTGTTTGCGACAAATATACCGAGTACCTACTTTCTTTAGTTCCTTCGGCCGCTCGTTCAGAACAGACAGCACTACGGCTCCGCACGAATCGAATCGAATCGAACTTTGGCCAAATTCGATTCGATTCGAATTAATATCGAAAATGTTGAGATAGGTATGTTGTATTGGTTAAGTTGTCTATCTTGTTGGAAGTGGGGCTCCTCATCTATTTATCTGTCTCTTGATGATCCCCACTACATGCTTTGACCACCGTGATACTCAACACTCCCACTCGATGGCAACCGCTATCAAGGATGCCAGTGACCATCCAACACGGTGGTGCAAGGTCCCGTTAAAACCTTCAAAAAACCTTCAAAAAACCTTCAAAGGGAAAAGAAGGAAAGGGTACCCCTGCGATTAGTCTCTGCTCGAAACCCGTGGGCCGAGAGAGGCGTCACTCAATGCCAAGCCCTCTCCGAAACCACTCAAATCGTCCTCGTGCAAGAGGCTTGGTGAGCCCATCTGCAATTTGTTCTGTAGTTTGGATGTATTGCAGCTCCACTGTTCCAAGGTCTTGAACTTCTCCTTGCCACTTGCGTTGGATTTCCATATGCTTCGTGCGGGAATGGTATTGTGGGTTCGACGAAAGGGCGATGGCTCCTTGGTTGTCACCACAAATGATTGTTGCGGTTTTTCCTTGGCTCATGTTTAACTCATTTAGAAGTCTTCTTAGCCAGATTGCTTCTTTGCTTGCTTGTGTCTGGCCCAGGAACTCAGCTTCACAGGTTGAGAGGGCAACGACGCTTTGGCGTTTCGACTGCCAACTGATTGCACCACTCCCGACATTGAAGAGATATCCAGCTGTTGATCGTCTGGTGTCACGACATCCACCCCAGTCTGCGTCTGTAAAGCCTTTCAGCATCTGGGGCTGACCTTTGTACGTGAGCCTGAGGCCTCTTGTTCCTTTGAGGTACCGCAGGACGCGTCGGGCGAGCTTCATATGCTGCGGCCCAGGATTTGCCAGGAATCTACTCGCCACAGACACTGCATACGCAATGTCTCCTCTGGTTCCAAGCATAATGTACATCAAAGACCCGACAATGCGTTGGTAGGAGATTCTTTGATCTGGAAGGCATCGGTAGTCTGGACTACACTCTGGGAGGGGTGAAGTCTCTATTGGTGTACTGACGGGGGCGCCATCGCTGACTCCAAACTGATGAGCGACCTTGTCAATATATGCTTCTTGACTGAGGTACAGTATCCTGTTCTGACGGTCTCGCTGGATGGACATCCCAAGGTAGTAGCTGCACGGCCCCAGGTCTGTCATTTGAAAGCGATTTCTCAGGCTCCGCTTGATCCTCTTTATCTCTGCAATGCTTGGTCCCACAATGAGGAGGTCATCGACGTACACCGCGATGTACATATTGCTCCGCACGAAGATTCCAAGATCTGCTGTGATTGGCTCGAAGCCGAGGTTGCGTAAAAAGTTTGTAAGGGTCTGGTACCAGATACGAGGGGCTTGCTTCAAGCCATAGAGAGCCTTGCGAAGTTTACAGACCTTTGACGTGCCATCAGCCATATGGTGAGGCTGCTCGACATAGATCTCGTGGTCTATATTTCCATACAGAAATGCCGTTTTGACATCCATTTGCTCGATCTCCAGGTCTAGGGCCGCTCCGATTGCGAAAAGGGCCTTGTAGCTCATTGGTTTGACAACTGAGGCGAAGGTTTCATCATAGTCAATTCCTTCTTCTTGTGTGAAGCCTCTTACTACCCATCTGCTTTTGTGACGGATTACTTCGCCATGTGGTCCTCGCTTGACTTTGAAGACCCATTTTCCGCTGAGGATTCTGCGATCCTTGGGAGGATCAACGAGCTCCCACGTTTTGTTTTGGTTGAGCGAGTTTACTTCTTCAAGCATTGCGCTTTCCCATTCAAGCCAGCTGGCGTCGTTCTTCGCTTGCTGCAGAGTCTTTGGCTCAAAGGGTTCTGTTTCCTCGGAGGCCAATGTTAAGAACGTTGGGATGATGTTCCCATTAGATATGTTCATTAACGCAAGCTCTCCTTCGCTATCATTAGAGGTTTCTTGTGTGCCCTGAGAGTCACGAATCCTGAGTTCAGGGTGATGTGCTAGTGTTTCCTGTCGCACTGCATGAATTGGACGGTCACGTTGGGGTTCTGGATATCGTTGCCATCCCCCCAAAACTTGTCCTTGTTGAGCGTCGTCTTGTTGCTGGTCGCTGTCAGTTGGTGAGTCACTTGTTTGGGCATTCTCTTGTAAAGTATCTGAGAATGGTCCGAATACATCATCACGCTGCGTGGGCGACAAGGTCCGGTCTCCCTGTTCAGCAACAGGTGGCTGCGAGTTCTCGTCACTCGTTTCAGACGACGCAGATATCAGCGAGTTCTCGTCACTCGACTGAGTTAGCACTCGCGAGTTATCGTTACTCGATCGAGGCAGTGTGTGCGAGATATCGTTTCTCGACTTAGGTGGCGCTCGCTCTGGTGGTGCCATCGACAATTGGCGTCCAGAGGCGGGTACGGATGATTGCCGTATGCCTACCGACGGTTGATTTATTAGTCCCACCGTCCCACTCCCCTGCGGCAGCAGCCGTTACCTCAGGTAAGCCGTCTCGTCTGGCTCCCACATCTTCTATAGTCCGTGTGGAGGGAGCTGTAAGGACTTCGTGAAATTCAGCATTTGGGGTCCCAACGATTCTTCCGTCTTCCAGTAGGATACGGTAGTTGGTATTTCCCTCATAGCCTAGCAGAATGCACGGTCTTGTTCGTGGTTCCGTGAGCTTCTTCCTCTGTTTTGGCGGAATCATATATTCGCCTTTGGACCCAATCACTCTGAGTCGGGATAGATCGGGCTTGTCGCCGTACCATGCTTGGTACGGAGTCATATTGAGTTTTGATGACGGCGACCGATTAGAGAGGAAGGCTGCGGTTCGAGCAACCTCTGGCCAGAATTTAGAAGGTAGCCTTGCATGTGCTAGCGTAGGCCCAGCCCTATCATAAATTGTCTTATGGGCTCTTTCGGCAACCCCATTCTGCTGGTGTTGGTCAACTCCTGTAACCTCAGCTTGGATTGCCCGTGAGAAAAGCATGAATTTCATCTCTTCTCCCACTTGCTCAGGTATTCGGTCAAGGCGTATTCTTCTACATTTTCGGTCAGGACGTTCATTATGGTCGAGAAAGAAACGTAGTGATTCTATAACAAATTCTTGTCGTCGGGGTATCGGAATAATCTCTATCCATCCCGTGAAATCGTCAACGATGGTGAGCCAGTAACGACTTCCATCGAGGCCCTCTTCAAATGGCCCTGCAACGTCAATGTGGAGGAGTTCCATTGCGTATTCTCCTCTTCTGCCCTTTCGCGACCGGCTGTGGGGCTTTTCAATCATTCGTCCCTGGAGGCATGGGTTACATGGTTGACGTGGCTCCATATCCCGAATGCCGTAGGCCTGTCTTTTGAGTCGTTGTAGATTTGCATCACTCATATGAGCCAACCGACTATGCCATAGAATCATTTGCGGGCTAACATGGTAGGAGACAAAGCTGATATTGGTCCACAAATTAAGTGCGTAGACTCCATGATATTGGCTTGCGGTGTAAAGGTTCTTTCCGGTCGACTTATTGCGAATAATGGCACCTTGGCTTGAAAATTCGATCTTTGCTCCCCGTTGGAGAAGTTGGAGTACGGAGACAAGGTTTGCGTGTGCAGTTGGGACATAGAGGACGTTGTCGAGCACCAACCACTTCCTTCTGCCTCGTACATTGCATAGGACATTTACTGTCCCAACTCCGGAGGGAATCGTCGACGTATCAATGCTTCGCAGTGGTGGCCCATGGTACTTGCTCATCTCTACAAATCTTGAGGCGTTATTACAGACGTGCTGGGCACATCCACTGTCAACTATCCAAGCGTCACGGATCGAGGGGGCTCTAGTAGCCATCAGAGCGGGAACATAGTCGAAAAGAGCAAAGTTGCCTTCGACATCTTTTCCAAATGTATCATTGACATCTTGTGCAGAGACCTTGGCCGACATGAAGGTGGGCTTCTTGGGGTCTTTCGGCCTGCCTGTGCCATCGTCTTCGTCGTCAGTAGAGGGCTGCCTTTTCGGCGGCCTGCGTGCGCCCGTATGTGGAGTCCCTTGCTTTGATTTGTGTCTCTTTCCATCTGTTCTCTGATCCCTCATTCCGGGATTCTTACTGAAGCATTCGGAGTCCACGTGGTAAGGTTTTCGGCAGAACGAGCAATATGGAACATTATCAATCTCGATTCGACACCTGGTCCCGTCTGATGATGGTATCAGCTTCTTGTCACCTGGTCCTCGGATAAGGGCCAGGGCAGGAAGCGCTTGGGTCTCTGTTGGTTGTTTGCTCAATTGACCCTTCCTATGCTCTTCCTCAATTGCCTTGTTCTCGATATAGTCGAACGTGGGTGCCGCTTTCGTGATGTTTCCGTCTGGATCCCTTTCATTCACAAGATCCATTTGCCGAAAAATATGATCACGAAAGCTCTCATATTCAGGACCTAATGCATGCACGAAAAAGAAAGTTCGCTCAATCTCGGAAGTCACGCAGTCAGGGTCAAGCAGGAGTTTCTCAGCGTGAATCTTCCTTATCTCGGCTCCGAGGGCCTGGGCACTTCCACATTTTTCTCTTGTAAGTGAAATATACCGTCTCTGGAGATTCACGTATGTCCCAGTGCCTTCTGGTTTGAAGTTGTCCTTTACTGCTTTGAGGAGTGGCTGAACTTGGGAGATCTCAAAAGCGTTGATTCTCTGTGCCGCATTGTGCGTCAGCTTCGCTGTGATCATCGCAGAGTAGAATTTTTGGCGACGAGTCCACTGCCGTGCGTCTTCTTCTTCTATCGGTGGCGTTGCTCCATCGTCGGCAACGGCAGATATCCGAATGAACTCATTAACCTTCTGGTTCCACTTAAACCAGTCGCTGGCATTATCCAGTGTCGGGATGCCATTGTAGAATGTATTCAATCCAAACTGCTCAAACTTCGCGATGTCAGTCATGTTGTAGACGGATGCTCCTCCGAGCTGAAGAATTCTGGGCTGGATATGTCGTCCTGTAGAGTGGAAGCAACCGAGTCACGATCTGATGAGTGGAGAGAACGCGCCTCTAAGCCAAAGAGTTCAAGGCTTGATGCGACACTGGGAAGGCTCGAGACGATGGAAAGGCTACGGTCTGATGAGTTTGGCGTAGGTGTTCGAGACGGTGGAGTATAGTCTCTGTCTGGAAACCGGCGCAGGTTCAGGGATCGTCTATACGATTTGGAGAAGTGAGGGAAACGACGCCAGTCAACTAGATATCGCGGCTCCTTTTGCGAGAAAGTTGATGGTCTGTTAGGCCGAAGCGTGTAGCGATTCGTATTATTGTTACTGGATATTAATGATTCGTCTCCAGCCGCAGGATTTGGCGAGGTCAAAATCGAGGCCCCAACGCCGTTTCTTGTCTGGGAGAAAGTGCCAGGAGTAGGAGTATTATAGTGACTTGGTCCTTTCTCAAGGCCGGGACGTGTGGATTGAGCTTTGGGGGTGCTTCGAGAGTCTTGTATAGTGCTGTGAGGGGTCGTAATTGGGACAGTGACCCTTGATGCTCGGCGTATGCGGTCTTCAGTGGATAAGCGCCAGTAGGCTCCCAAGAGTGCATTCGGTGAAAGTGTTGGAAAATATGACTTCTGGATTTGTTTGAAGGGCCAGCGATGAATGCATCGAAAATGCGAAAGAAGATTTAGCTCTTCATCTGTCCAAGAGTGTCTATTTTGCTGTTTTGCATTCTTCTTCGGAAGTTGAGCTGGCCTTCTCTGAGATCGAGATGGTGGCCCTGAGAAGGTAATTTCTGAGTTCGCTGTCGAAGGGGACATCTCTCAGCTATGGATTCAATTTTGTGTTATCCTGTGCCAATGTGATATCTGCAATGGCGACAAGGTGGTAGTGTGACAGTGTGACAGTGTGATAGTGATAGTGGGACAGTGACAGTGTGACAGTGATAGTGTGATAGTGTGACAGTGAAAGTCGCGGTGATAAAGTCCATCCGCTTCATTCCATCCAGATGGTTTGTACACTGGAGCTCGATATTTTCACCAAGTTACTGATGCAATGTGGTCAGATCCTTGGATTGATAAAGTTATCACTTGATAGGGAGGCTTAGCTGTAAATGGCAGGTAATAAATTGTCTGTTTAAATTTCTGCAAGCCTAAGGTTAGGCCACCCGGGCTCATAACCTGTTGAGATAGGTATGTTGTATTGGTTAAGTTGTCTATCTTGTTGGAAGTGGGGCTCCTCATCTATTTATCTGTCTCTTGATGATCCCCACTACATGCTTTGACCACCGTGATACTCAACAGAAAATATCAGTTCGTACGAATTCGATTTGAAGACCGATTCGAATTCGATTCGAAGTTCGCGAACTTTTTGTGCTAAACCCTGATTTGGAAAGCGGTCAATCACGTCCTACTATATCGTACTATATCTGTTGTTCTACAAGATGGTGACCAATCGATATCACATACAGTAGGTAGTTTAATAGCTAGCTAATTAAGAAAATCAGCGATAGCTCCATTTAAGCTGACAGAAATTGAGCAATTTGGCTTCGGGTTGAACAAGCTGGAGCGCAGCATCAGCAGATATAAATTTTCGCCTTAACCCTAGCCAAGATATACAGTTTCTACTCCCAAGATCGCTCAACAAGTCCGCAATCTTATCTGTGATCAGTTTTATTTCAAATAATACTAGCTCATAGACCGTATTAAGATACGTGTAGTCTATCGATATGGATTCAAAATATCAATAGTTGCACGTTGAATACAATGTAGTGTAAATGAATAGTCTAATCGGGCTAGCGGAAATTGTACAAGCACGCGTCTCCGCGCGGACGTGCTTTTACCAAGAACAACATCCAAATCTTGGTCAAAAGCTACTTAAAACCATCCTATCTGGTGCTCCAAAGTAAGCGATGGATTATGACACAAGCGTGATATGTATACTAATATCAGGTTACAGATGACATCTCCACTTGCAACCACATTCGACTGTCCTAACACCAGGAAGAATAAACGCGATTATGCTGCGCTTCACAAATATGGCCTCCTTGAAGAGGATATCCCACTTCCGCGACCTCGAAAAAAGACGGTGGTCCGGTCTGCTCTTAACTCACCAAATACTCCGGTTTCAACCTCTCTGACCTCTCCGAATGCTCCCAGCAACGTTTCTATCAGCTTATCGAATCTTGACACGGATATAGGCCCTTCACAATCAATATCTCAGGTTGAATGCGAGACTGAGTGTGTCGAAATCAAGCAGAGAGACGGTATTAGGTTGAAAGAGCGTAGCTGGGTGTGGAAATACTACCAAACAACGACTGAATCTGGTACGTGGAGATTAGGAGATAAGGAGCGGCCCGAGCTTAAACATCGGTGTATTGTATCACCATCTACATGTCGATTCTTCCGATTTGCATCGAAACTACGATCTTCAACCACAGCGTTGAAACAGCACCTGCAGCAGACCCACAAGCTCTTCCAGGACGGTCAATCAGAGCGCCAAGGGCCGTTAAGCTCATGGATTGCCAAAGAAAAAAAGCTCCCATTCGAAGAGGCTATCTTGGATTGGATTATATCTACCTGTCAGCCGTTTACATGTGTCGAGCAACCTTCATTCAAGGCTATGCTGAGTTCCATGGACTTTGAGGAGTCTATACCAGGTGCGGACACGGTTTCGCGCCGATTAAATCTCCGGCTTGATGCTCTTGACAGTGAACTCCGAATCTTGATGGCTTCAGCGCCCTCAATCGCGCTATCTCTGGATGGCTGGACAAGCCAGAATTCATTACCAATGCTAGCAATCAATGCTCACTGGATGTCACCTACTTTCCAGCAACATCGAGCTTGTATTGAGTTTGTTGAGATCACAGGCAGCCATTCTGGAGAGAACCTTGCTAATATTGTTGCGACGGTTCTTGAGAGATTTCATATATCTGATATAGTTATGACCATTACAGCTGACAACGCATCTAACAATGATACACTACACCGATGTCTTTTCCAAAGGCTATGTCAGCGGTACGATGAGTACCTGGCCGAAACTGTTATTCGAGAAGGGACGATGAAGTTCACCCAGAACTCCCAAATCCGCTGCTTTGCTCACATTCTCAATCTGGTTATGAAAAAAGTATTGAGGTCGTTACGCGTCAGTTCACATAGGGAAGCTTGTGACTTCCTTGATGATGTCACTAAGAGGAGCTGGAAGACAATGACTGTTCCTACTTCCCCGATTGCAAAGCTTCGGCTACTTGTCCTTTGGATTGCGCGATCTCCGCAGCGAATACAGAAGTGGGATAATCGGCCTGGCTGTACAAAAGCCATTCACTACGAAGTTGATACTCGATGGAACTCTACTTTTGTTATGATTGAGAGAGCTGAAGAGTGTCGCCGGCAGCTCGAAGATACAGTCAACGATGAGCCAGATATTGAAGCCTTACGCCTCACACCTAACGATTGAAGACACCTCTCAGATATCAAGAAAATCTTGGCTCCCTTCAACGAATATACTGAGTACGTCTCTCGGGATAGCCCCTCGATTCATATGGCAGCGCGGATGTTTGAAAAACTCCGTTCTATACTCTTGGCTATTAAGGAACGGCGAGGCAATTGGCAGAATGTCTCGCCAGCTCTAACTGTTCCTATCTCTGATGGAATCACACTTCTGGAGCACTACCACGACTACGTCAAAGATAACGACATATACTATATCGCAAGTGTTCTGGACCCTCGAATCAAGACCAAGTGGCTCAGAACTCTGCCAGATGGAGAGAGGATTATCAACCGAATCAGAGAGTTCCTCAAAAAAGCATATCCCACTCCGAAACAACCTATATCGACTGCTCTAAACACCAGCTACAAGAGCTTCGAATATAGATTTCTGGAAGCCTTTCAGCCCACACAGTATAACGTCGCTGAGTCTGATATCGACCAGTATTTCGATAGCCCTACAATCAGCACTGGCTTCGATATAAGTCAGAGCCAGACTGAATTTATACGAAACTGGTGGAAGATCAACAAGCTTGAATTTACCTGTATGGCTAAGGTAGCACAAGATCACCTTGCTATACCAGCAGCAGAGGTGGATATCGAGAGATTATTCAATAATGGGAGAGATGTGCTTGGAATTCGACGTTTCTCCATGAAAGGAAAGACGCTTGGGACATTATTAAGGCTGAAAGATGCTGAACGTTGGAAGTCTGAATAGTTACATAGTTGTAGGTTTTACAGCGTAGAATAAAAAAATCATGAACCGTACCTAGAACCACCTTCTACGTGCAAATCCAATGGATACAGTGGCCAGGGTTGTTGAGGTTATGGCTGTCCGCATGAGCAAACCCCTACTTGAATGATGTTACTAGGTATTAGTTCGCGAACCTGTTCGAAATTCGCGAATTTTGACGATTCGAGTCGCCTATAGATTCGAAGCCCGAAACCCAAGGTTCGAATTCGATTCGATTCGCTGAAATCCGCGAACTTCGAACAGTTCGAAAATTCGTGCGGAGCGGTATTCATGTTTCACCATTTGACTAGTGCACCGTATGGGTCTGCTCAAGACCAATCGCTTCAGGCGCTCGGAGTTTCCTGCACTTTTCACGGAAGCCTAGTCGTAAGGTGGGATTCGGGGAATTATGAGTTGATAGCCGAAAATAGTTGATCGGAATGTGAAGGGATCAGATTCCATTTGCGATCCTCTTGCTCGGTTGTTAATTTCAGTATCGACGGATTTATTGATGAAAACCTTCCACTATTGCATATAGACTTATTGCGGATCTTCGAACTACCATCATGAATCAGAGTACACTACTCAAATATAATTGGAAAATATTATTGAAACAACCTTTCCTGTCCCCAATCAAATTAGTCGTCAGGCTTTCCTTGTCTCGTTGTAGTACTGTAGTAACCATCTTCCCGTATCCACTTAGTTCCCAGGAGATCGATGTAAGTATTGCTATACGCAAAGACGAGGTCGATAGCAGAGAAAATTGTTCAGCGAAAACATAATCGACCTAGTGACTCACTAACTATACAAGGGACTCTGTCGTGGAATGGGGCTGCGCGAATCAGTGCCTCGCCGTACCATAGCTTAGATCTACTTGATCTTGTGTAGGTGTGGTGCAGTTTCTCCGATATGTGAAGTAGGCAATGAAGAGCCCTGCGGTTGGGCTGGTTGAGATCTAGGGTCGCAATATAGGATGGTGTCTGCCTGTCTTTGATGAGGTGTTCGTTGCGTGGAGTGACGGGCTCATCACCGTTGAGAAGAAATGATTTGACCTCGTCGCCTCACCCGTCGCATTAAAGGGCGGACCCACGGTGGTGAATGGTAATAACCGTCGTCGGTTCTTTTCTGCGGCATCCACACTGTTGAAACCATGCGAACAGCCAGAAAATATTTTTCATGTTCTTGATCACCAGGAACAAAATGCAATGTCTCTGAGAGCTGCTTTGAACCAATGATGAAATGTTGAATCAGTCATTATTGAAGAGTAGTTTGTGTTTGAGCCCTCACAATTCACAATGATCATCGCACCGAGATAGGCAGAACGACGGCCTGCAATGCTATAAATACCCGATCCGTCGCCAGCAGAACAGTCGTTCAAAGCATCTTTGTCACCCGGGTCAAAGAACATCGAACGTAGTTCGTGTCTGCGGCTAATCTTTGGTATGGATTGACCTTCAAAACATGCAACTAAGTGAGCTGACCTCTTACATTGCAATAGCCTAACCTTTCTTAATCAAGTCTTCGAAAAGTGAGTGTAGATGCCCAGTCATTTGAGATTATGCTAACGCGGAGGATGCTCAATATTAGCCCCGCCTCCGCTATTTCTCTGAGAATCCATTGAGCGAACCTTTCAGGATCCCGAATGGTCCAAGCTGCGAGCACAGTGAGTTACAAGTTGCCTTTATGAACTGCCTACTGATGATTGATGATAAATAGATGCCATCCTTCATACAGTCCCCTGTAGCGGACAGAAATAAGTGACAACGTAAGTTTGAAGACTGCAGCAATTTCAAAGGCAGATATCATGTGCTGACGGCCCTCTCTGCAGGATGGAAAACTTCCTATCGCGAGTCGCCCAATGTCTTGTAAGTCCCGCTAGTGCTTTGCCCCTACCCATTCCCAACACCCGGTACTGCATTTCGATCTCCATACGACTGATATCCGTTCGTGGCTTTCTATTCCTCAGATAATATCGCTGATGACACTTCTTTTTCACAGGGCGCGCGTCAATATTACCCTCGACCTGACAGAGCTATGTTCCCCCTCCTCTTCGAAACTGAACCAGCTTCAACAATATGATGGGCCAAGCCACTGAATATTACTACGCTTGCGTCTTTGTTGTTTCTGAAGACATGGTTGACACGGCCACTCGGCATTCAAGGTTGAACCATGTTTCACCATTCTGTGTGATCTCTTCCCCAGCGTCGAATATGACACACCGTGGCTCTTTTGTACCAAAGCATGTTGTAAAAACATGCGAACCCGGTTGAAAAAGCGCCCAGAGAATACCATACGTAAAAAATGCAGTCGTGCTGCAGCATTGACTCGAGGCGCTACGAGATGGCTGAATATGCTTCCTTGAGGTGGTCGATGAGCAAGTAGAGGCGCTGACGTGGTGTTTCACACTCTGGGTTGTTCATATTCTCAGCATATTTGGCCAATTCTGGGAGGAAATGGAAAAGGATCTTTTGCTCGATCTAAACCCATGTTAGTAATATTATTAGATATAGAACTCTGCTTCAATTACCGATGGCTTGTCCTCCATCAGGCTGATGGCTTTGATGTCGTCCGGAACCACGCGCAGGACTTCGCGCAGGTCTTTCGACTGGATGTCGATGTAGAGCTAACGAGACCGACTACACCAAAACGGACACGCACAGTTTAGCCTGAAACTGTGTATCTCCGGTGGGGGCCAAAATGAACCAGCGCCAAAATAAAACGCAGCCCCCAAAGCTCGAAGTCGGAATCATTTTGGAACTTGTTCAGGGCATTCTATCGGCTGGAGTTGTTTGTTCAGATAAAGATGCAGAATGGTGAAATCTCCGCTTGTACGTAGAGCACGAGGCACTTTCCCGATACTTGTGAATCGAAATCAAGAAGGACCGATAGTGATCGTGGTAAATATGGAGTAAAAAGTTTCTATTTTGTAAAGAGGGTGAATTTTTATATTGAGGCGTGCTATATTCCAGACCAAGGCATTAGCATCCATTCATCAGGCCGCCTTTCCATGCCATTAAAATTCAATGCAAAGTTCTCAGCTTGCGAAAAGCTTTGGCTCGGCTGCCCCGGGGGTGTGAAGTTGCCAAGAGAGCCTGTCATAACAAAGTAGTCGGCTAGAGTATGATTAGAAAAAAAAATGAAGACATGGAAAAAGCGTAGCAGGGAGGGTCTCTCACGATCAAATAAGCTCATATAGTCAGATGATACTGTAGCTTCATCTGGAATAGAGCCTGGAGGTTCTTGACTGTCAAGCGGAACACTATTTGGCGGGAAGTGGCCACCAGAATGCGCAATGGCTTGTGTTAATGCAAATTTATGACTTCTCCCATCATCTGCCCGAGCCAGAACGAAGCTGACAGTCTCGGCCGCTTTCTTGGCTTCTTTGGAACTTTCGCTTCGCCTCATCCAAATTGCCCTGCATCGCTGAAGCGCCGCACGAATGTCTTGTTCGCGCTCCAGCGTATGTCCCTGATGAAGCATAGAGCATAGAATCATCGTGGCGGTAAGGAACTGATGATTCATGATGGACGTGACGCGGAATCGCATGGTATAAAGTTGACCCCCAGGACAAGTTTCCTCGTCAAGAATATGTTGAATCTCAAGAGTACCAAGAGAAGCCTCCAAACAGACCTTTCGCGAGTAAGAGGTCGCTTGATCATCTGAATTGTCTGACTTGGGGTAGAAGAACCGCTTGTGAAGAACAACCTGTCCCTTGTAGATCATGTGGTATAGGAATAACCGGGCCATAATGATCTGTGGGGGGTCAGTCATACTTGTTGCCATGGACTTGAGCTTTAGTGGTGGGGGTATGTTGGCTGCTGCCTCCTGGATCATGGAATCAATATGCATCACATCAGCATAGGTACATGGCTTGACCGCGTCAGTCAGATCTATCACGGCCCCAAGTGCCGCGAGAATCCGCCTTCGTGCGATGATTCCAAGGGAGTTTGTATATTCTGTGAGGGGGCGAGAGAGAGGCAAATCGGTCGATTGTTCGTCGAAATCCGTGTCATTCAGGTTCCGTGGCTCTGAAGTATCCCATTTGCCGTCGGAGATCATCCGTGGCATGCCCATTTGATTGGAGATGAGTATATCCCCCATTAGAACTGTTGCCCAAAGTCGACGACGCATTTCGCCTTGGAAGGGTGAGATCCCGGGGAAGTGGCTTGGGTCACGGTGGTAGCCCATTCGCATCGCCAAATTGACCTCCAGAGCCAGTAGAAACCAGATGTCCTTACCGGCGTCGGTTCGAATACAGAATTCGGCATATGTGTAGTTTATGACTGTCTCCAAAACATATGGCCCTGACCTTGTATATTCCCCCAGCGTCAAACATTGCACGATTTTCTCGCGATAAAGGTCGACTTGGAGTGATAGATCCTCGGGATTCGGTTCGGATAGGACATCGGAGGTAAGGCATGCGAGACAAATCATGCTGAAGAGGAGCCCAATCCACATAACAGGCGCGCTTGATTGATTCCTCCAAAATGCCTCGTACTGGTACAGTTAGCAAAATGATTCGAGAGATGTTTGATGAACTTACCTCACGTAGAAAACTTGGTCCATGCACCGCAGCTAGATCAGGATCAGTAGCTACCAACGAGATCCAGTCAAGAGATGCAAAACATACAAGAGGAAACCAGGTCGAGGTAGTTGAAATACCGAGAAACATATCGATCGACCGCAGATCTCGGAGGCAACGCCGCGAGAATCTCTTCCTTTGAGCCTAGACGGCGCCCCCCATACAGCAGAAGCGCATATGCAGATCGAGGGAGAGCCAATCCATTTCCATGCTCATCATTATCAAGATCTGACGGGGTACTTGCGAGGCGGAACTGCTCATCACGATCGAGATGGTCTTTGAGATCCGCGATTCCATCGAGGATAGTCGCCCAATGGTTATTCCCAACATAGTGAAATTCCGACTCACTGATTTGCATACCGCCACACTCAGAACGGCCATCAACAGCGTCGACAATGGGATCACTGGGAGGTGGATTTTGGATTCTCGATGAAGCCGAAACTTCGGAGCCTGGCGGAATATGTGCTTGTGCCTTGTTCGCCGAGTCGGCCATCAGCGACACAATCAGACGCTCCAACTGAGCCAAACGGTCATGCATTCCAGGTGCTCCCCGGAAGACACCTTTGCAGAGCCTATGAGCCCTGAGTTATCCACGTAGGTACATATCTGGCTACGGGTAGAGCAGGAGGAACATGGCTGTTGACGGTCACATCGTGATCTGAAAGAATGTGAGTATGTGGAGAGACACTACTGCGTAGGATACTGGTTCATACTTGCGACGCCGGCAGGCATTACACGAAAGCTGGGGCTTGTCTCTTAGTCGACTGAGCTTCGGCCGAGGATGTGATAGCTGCGACGGCTGCGACGGCTGCGACGGCTGCGATGTTTGTGATGGTTGTGATAATGTCTCGATCTCCTGACCAAGACTCTCTAGATCCATTTTGGGGCTTTCAGAGGTGACACAGGGTGAGACGGCGGGTCAACTACGCGAGGAACAAAGCACCTCGTGAGGCTACAGGGCTATCCGGAGGATAGACGCCGGAGGATCAGCGGGGGTTCTGACTCAGCATCCGTGGGCCTCATGCCTTACACCACGTGACACCTTACTCCGACCCTCCGACGGCCCTACCCGACGGACCCACAGCGGGTTCGAACGGGAGATCTACCAGCCGATCCACTCCGCGGAGGATCGGAGGATGTGTGGGACAGCTTGTCGGACGGCGACCGGTATGGCTTAACTTGCAGAGACCGTCTCTAGATACCGAAATTTCCTTAAAATGTCGCGGAAATGGTTGGCTAGGATATTCTATCGTCTCCTTCAGCATCTTCTTCGCAGCGCAGTCAGCAATGTCATCCTCGCCGAGCTCTTCAAGCGCCACTCCGGGAAATTTAGAGTCCGCCGCTCTCTCGGAAAAAGTGTTTGATCCTAATCTCGTTGATTGGGATAGCGACGATGACCCTGAGAACCCCCGTAATTGGCCAACACGGACCAAATGGGCAAATATTGTGATCATATCGATATTGGCATTGATCACGTACGTTTTGAATCCTTCCATCCATACGGATAGAAGGAAACTAACCACTGTTTTCGTATAGGAACATGGCTCCTACAATGTGTGCGCCCGGAGTGGCAGAGATTGCTGCCGACCTCCACATCACATCGACAGTGGTTAGCACGCTGGCCATTACACTTTATGTCCTGGGAATCTCCATAGGTCCGATGTTCACGTCTCCACTAAGTGAGATCTACGGAAGGGTACCGGTCTATCATGGAACAACGTTCATCTTTGTTATATTTATCATTGGTGGAGCCTTGAGCAAGACCACTGCCCAATACATGGTCTTCCGTTTCATATCAGGATGTGCGGGTGGCAGCCCTATGGCGCTGGGCGGAGGCAGCATTGCAGATCTCACCACAATTCAGCAAAGAGCTATAGCGATGGCTTTGTTTAGTCTCGGGCCACTTGCAGGACCGGTAAGTCTTTGTTTATTTTCCCGTCCCCTACATCTGATCCGTATCGAGCTCGTGTTGGAGATTGTACTAACGGCGGTGGGGTTAGGTCCTTGGTCCCGTTATTGGTGGATTTGTTGCAGCTGACAAAGGCTGGCGTTGGACCTTCTGGCTTCTAGCCATTCTCGGAGGAGCATTCGGCATTGCATCCGTCGTGCTGATGTGTGAGACACATCCCAAAGTTCTTCTCAACCGAAAGGCCGCTCGCATGCGCGCCACGACCGGCAACCCGGATTTACGCTCCAAGCTGGACAGCACTCTATCCCCTCGTCAAGTTGTGTTGCAAGTTCTCGTCCGCCCTCTCATGCTCCTTGTGCGATCGCCAATCTTATTCGTAATTTCCCTCTATGTGGCGTTGGTCTTTGGCGTCATGTACCTGCTATTCACCACGTTCACTCGTATTTTCGAGGGGCAGTATGGCTTTTCCACAGCTAGCTCTGGGCTTACCTACTTGGGGCTTGGTGTGGCGCTACTGTTCAGCATGTTCATCTTCAACATGTTCAATGCTCGGGTTTTGGCGGCCCGCATGAAGGCTGATGGCGTGCAGCAATCACGCCCCGAGTACCGCCTCCTCTTCATGATTTGGTTCAGTCCTTTTGTGGCATTTGGTCTTTTCCTTTATGGTTGGGCCGCATACTACCAGATTCACTGGATCGTACCTATCATAGGGACCTTCTTAATGGGATTCGGGGCTTATTTTGTGATCGTATGTTACTCGATTATTCCGTCTTTTCGCATGCATGCTGACGACTAACTTCTCCGCTTTTAGATGCCCGCGCAACTGTACTTGGTTGATGTGTTTGGCTCGGAGGCCGCCGCATCAGCACTTGGTGCCAACAATCTACTGCGTTACATTTCAAGTACTTTCCTTCCCCTCGCTGGGCCAAGTATGTATAAGACCTTGAATTATGGGTGGGGGAACTCATTACTCGGCTTCCTTACATTGGCCTTCCTTCCAAGCCCCATCCTCTTTTACAAGTATGGAGAGCGACTACGCGCCAAGACTAAGGTGGCGCTCTAGGCCGGCCACGATGCTGGTTCCCGAGTACCTGCCAAGAAACCCCCTCGCCCTTCCTGCAAGTCATACAATTTTATCTAAGAATTTTTTTTTCTTTCTTTTTCATAGATACAGCACTTGCAGTAATCAGATTCATCGTTGGTTTTAATACTACTCATGGCTTGGTTGGCTGGGTTGAACTTTCTAATTGACTATCCATTGACTCCCTCGAACTATGTATGAATGATGGGATTTGTAAAGTGGGTCCTAGAAGGGAAATATTTTCCTAGTCTCAGAATTGGCCCCTATGTATGCTGCGCATCCCAATGACAGTATGCTGCGCGACTGCGCGAGAAAATATTTGTTTAGCGAAGGATTTGAGGGCGCTATATGTGACTAAGCACGTGTCGCATTCTTAGGACACTAGGCATCTATTTTTAATCTGAAAGAACTGATTTTAAGACCAGAAAAATCGTGATTCTAGGTGAATACGAGCCGGAACATGGCCGTGCACAAGACAATGACATTCTAGGAAGTCTGTTTCACTGTCATTACACAAGTACACTCCACCTATCGATCACGCATATGGCTGATGGCTGATTCAAAATCACAGCCATGTCGGGGCTATCACTTCCTTGGCAGGGGGTACGATGAACTAATAAAAGGTTCGCCTGACTAGCTAGGTGTACTCCGAAGGGTTACATATCCATTATAGCTTAGCGACATTACTATGTTGCTGCTCCCCAAAGCCACCAAGCAGGCCCGCAGCTACAATATATAACACCTAGGTATTCTTCGGCAGCACGATTCTACATATTCCGAAACAAGAGGAAACTTGCCTCTATACTTTCGATAAAGATCATGGTGACGTGAGATATATCGAGCAACTGTAATCCGTTGCTCGGCTGCGCAACGACCTGTAAGCTCTATAAATCATCAAGCGCCCTACCAGGATGAGAGCGACACGGCCTCGCACTGCTACGTTATGTCGGGATATATCCTCCCGTCAGAATAAGCAAAGACATGTTGTACGTAATCTTGCTAAGCTGCGGCTCCCGCCGCATGGATTCAGGGGTATTTGGCCTTGACCGGAGACAGATCGATATATACACGAATCAATCAACCTTTGCTTTAGAAGCATAAACTGTTCACTTAACTGTGTACACAGGACCTAGCTGGTGATACCAACACTTACAACATATGTTATCAGACCTGATTATTTTAATTGGAGAGACGAAGTTTCTAACCGTTATTCACTTTGAACAGGAATGCTGGGAATATTGTCTCATCCCCGTAACATCCGTCTTTAGACGGGTCAAATCATCACATTCATTTCTCACTAGCATTTTTGCACTTTCATGCAGCGCTGTTAACGGCACTGCGTTCTTTGATGATTTTGAAATGGGTACAGCCAAAGAATGTAAGCCCAACCTCTACCTCTATGAGAATTCATAAAGTGAGCAAGGGCTCCTTCGAGACCTTTGGCTAATATATCCACCTAAGCTATGCGCTCATATGAGGGTGTCTGACTGGGAACGCCCAAAAGAGCAACAACAATAATTCATGTTCTCCCCCTGCTGTAAGCTCTTCATTATCCACTCTGATTATTATAATGGGAAAGGGTAACGGTTACTAGCGGTACTTTCTTCTAGCAAATGCCACTGGATATTTAGTCTCTGAAACAAGCCAGTGGGAGAATCCGTTTGCCTGCTTTATCTACGTATTCAATTAGAAACTGACTATCAACGAAGGGACAATGACTAGCAAAGGACATGCCATCTAAATCATGAGTCAATGATATTTTCAGTTATTAAAACATATTGCGGCTGGATATCATTTACCCCTTAATTTACGCGTAAGTCCACAACCTGATTTGTTTGTGATTAAATGCTCGTAGACCGCATTGAGATACATACACGTAGTATCAATATAGAGCCGAAGTATGATTAGTTGCACAATATCTTTTGTTGGAATTCAAAGGAACGGATTCCTTTTCCAAAATATCAGAGAGAACATTTGAGGGTATATACAGCGGGAAGACCAAGTTGATTTACAATAAGTTGTGATATGAGGCTGGTGCAGATCGGGAACGAAGCCGCACCATCGGAATTAGCTCCCGAGAGATCTATACGAAGTATCAAATTGATCTTCTCAATGTGCATATAGCCTCACGTGTTTCCTCTGAAATAATAACTTAATGAAGCCCTGGGACTTTGAAAAGAAAAGCATAAACAAGAGAGATCAAAGTGGAGTGACTCGTACTAGACCAGAATGTACAGGACACCCACAGGTTTATTGAAGAGCGCCTAATCTGTTGAGCTAATCCTGTCTTCAAATTGTATAGGTCGTTGCGAGATGAAATCTGGCATGTTGACATCAATACCCAGCCCCGCACAAGGATTCTGCAGGATATCTAGAGGTATTCGCGGCTCTCTTGGGTCTCTCGAGAGAGTATCATTATCTCCAATATCGTAACCAAGCCCCAGCGTCCAACCCAACACTGGAAAATAGAGACCTTCAGAATCCTGATTCCGGCATCGAGATATCGAACTGCTTGTTTTTTCAAACCCCCTTCCCTGATGCCAGTCAGGAGGGGAAAAGAGACTTCGGTGGAAGGCATGCCATCTAAGTTGAAGCCCTTCTCTGCCGCTATGCGGTGATAAAAGCTATTGCAAAGCTGAAAGGCCCGTCGCGCTGCTTCATTGGATTTCCCAAGGCAACAGAGCCAGAACAAAGCTTTTTTTATCGTGACGATGATAACTTCAATGGATTCAGAAGCTGTTGCGTCTCTCTCTTCGGGCTTTGTTGTTTTGGTTTTTCCAGGCAATATCCGAGAATAGTCAATTGAAATATACATGAGCAAGACTGACGTGGCCTGCATTAGATGATGCACCACAGTCCACCATGGAGAAACATCGTAGGCCCAACGCGCATCCGGCTGGTCAGGCAAAACAGAGAGGAGTGACAGGGATGCACGACATGCTGAAGTGATATCTTTAGCATATTGTGGTCGCTGAAGGAACTTCCCATATTTCTTGTCCATGGTTGGCCCCATGAGACATGGTCGATTGAGAACTATCCGAGAGCTGTAATAGTGCATTGCCAGCGAAACTTGATAGCGTGACATATTCCCGGAAAAGGATTACCCTGGTCGTCTTCGAAAGCCATAGAGCTATGTAAACCAGACACCCATTGGTCCATCATCATGTTGTAGAGGTCGATTTGATGTAAAGGCCGAGAGGACTCCTCCTGGAACAAGTCTGTGCTATACATCCGACTTGTGATGGCGTGGATGATCAAACTCAAGTCCAACATATAGAAGAAGCAGAGAGATGGGCTGGGTGCAACATGTTTCAGACGCCTATGCTGAGCTTCGATTTGTTCGTGATGCTGATGAATCGTCCATTGAAACACGCCATCCTGAGCCAGCCTTGCATGTCCCAGTTGGTGGACATCTGACGCTGCAGAATCTACACTCTCAAACGGCCAAATTGGCGGCACGGAGCATGAGCCGTCCCCAAGACAGGAGACTCGGCCAGTCATGATAGTAAGAATATGCTCCAAGTAAAATATGGACCACCAAAGCCGCTTTCGCGCTTCCTTTGCTATCGAGTCCAGTTTGGTACTCGAGCTCTCGAGATTGAGCCCTAATGCAATAGCTGAGCGGGTCGCAATTCCTACTGTCTTCCATGATCTGCGGAGTTATTACATGAAATCTGTTGGAACAGGCATAATAATATATCGCGTAGACATACCTGTTAATTTGCGACGAAGACAGGAAATAAAATGCCATAAGAGTCTCTGCCTGCACTTGCTGCAGATCCCCATAGATTTCAGAGTAGTTGAGAATCTTTGCCCTGGATAAGAACATTTGCTCCTCGCCGATATCTTGCCCATCGTGCCGAGATGCTCGGCAAAACCGACTGCCGATAGCGAGGACCATATTGAAGATAGCTAGCCATTTTCTGCCCGGCCTTTTTTGGGGATTTGAATAAAGCTGTTGATACTGTTCAATAAAAAGGTCCTCTCGGATGATAGGCAGAACCGTGTGGACTTCTTTGAAAAAACAGTGGAACAAGTGATCCGCCAGCTCTTTTGCTGGAAGAGCGAAAGCATCCGGTACTTCGAGACCATGGGGATAAACATGATTAAGATGATAGCTCATTGAAGCCGTGGAAGGTTCGACAGGAAGCAGGTATTGTCGGGTCTCCTCTGAAGAAGTCAGATGCCTTCCCTGTCTCGACAGTCCCGCCTCTAATTGTCGCATCCACGCGACGTCTGAATTCTTCCCCATATATCCCGTAGCCCGGCTTTGTTCACTCCGGTTGAGATCTTCCCCCACACTATCGGTATCATTCAAAGGACGGAACACGGATGAAGATAAGACACTAGACGAATTCTTGTCATCTGTCGTGGAAGGCTCCTAGTTCAATGAGTATTCTATCCGATATTGAAGAGGCAACACATAAGGAATATCAATACGTACCTCCAGAATACGTGCTATTCGTTCTGCAAGGGATGTGTCGGCCCCACGCGAGATTTCCCGAAGAAATTCCTCGTAAGATGCATTTTTCAGCTCCGCTGACTGCAATTGCATGCGCCCCCTGGCCGTCTTATTATCGGTGTAAACACAATTAACCAAGCCCTGAGCATCGCATTGCGCGCACATAGGCCTACTGCCGTCACATTTCGTTCTGCGTTGTCGGCACATCTCGCAGGCCCTGGCTGTCCGCATTCGCCGACTTTCATTTCTCACCCTTTCAAGGCGTTGAATAGGAAGCTTTTTCAGCATATTATAGATGTAGTGAGGCGATGTATGGGAATCTAAAGAGTAAGGACTTCGTTCTTGATAGATGTTAAGTTGCCTCCACAACGTCACAGCAACACGGGTTGGACCCATAATCGAAATGTCTGTGCACACACGGAAGGTGGTTGGCGACTGTGGCAGTGCAGAAACTGACCGCTTGCCAAATCCACGAGACTCCCGCTATCCTGTTTGGATACTTTGCATTGGCATGAGTTCTTGGCTGATAGCTAGTAACTAAGAGGTGTTGAAAAAAAGATTAATTGTACTCCTTAATTTTTTATTTCCAGTAACTCCTATCTAGGAAGCAGAACAACGATGTCGGCAAACTTGGCCGCTTATAGCACAGGAAAACATGGCTAGTTTAGAAAATAGAAAGAATAGAGCAGGAGACCTGCGGGGTTGGCTCTATCATAGCTGTGTTCTTACATGGATAAGTCATAACATCATCTTCCCGAATTACTCGGCTCCCAATGAATCGGCTCAAAGTGTGAATTCTGGAAATGAGCCCGGTTGTCCGGCGAGCTAAATCTAGTCAATCGCCAAATTCTGAGTGGAAAAAATAAATAACCTGCCAAGCTGAAATACTCACTTATTAAAAGACGTACTCCAGGGCAGCGAACGACTCAAGTTGGGCTTCATAACCAGCGGATTCAACCGGATTTTCAACCCGCCCGATGGCCGACCGTGTAGTGCAGTCATCGGGGGCGGTGCGGCAGACGGCCTGGCAGACATTGATGGAGAAATGGGAATTGATGGAATGGGTAGATGCTTCTGCGTGGGGGGCTGGTACGTCCCCTGCGCGGGCGAGGCACGGAACGAACTTGCTGCGGCGGGGGAGACGGAAGCCATAGGGGACATGGGAGAGCGAACTCTAAACACCGAGTCCGCCGTTAAGTTGGGAATGAACATCAAGTGCGAGTTGATGTCTAATGAGAGAACACTCTGGTCCCATGGTGAATAGTTGAATGACATCGCGTATTGGTAATTCACCACAGGGGTAATGTTTATGGTCCGATCAGCAGGATAGAGAAGGTCATAGTGGCCCCTAGATGCTAAGTTAGATATTCGAAAGCTTGGAGAAGAAAGAAGGCACCCACGATCGGCACAGCAGACTTATAGTTACACCGCTGGGACGGCTCGGTGAGAGATGGAACGGCGTTAATACGTCGCCCTCGCCTCGGTCGAGGTGAAGAACCTCGACTCCAAATCCAGCTTCCTCGATGACTACATCCACCAGGGCCTGCAGTCCAACTTCGTCGATTTCAGTCTGGACAGTTTCGATGTGGGTTACACAGTACTGCTCTAGCGGCAAAGACAGGAAGCTATGGTAGCTGTGAGGATTGAGCTTCATCCATGCGCTGGTCAAAAGCTGATTTGCGGTCAGCGTGGAGAAAGCGACGAGATAAATTACCTAGACCTACCCTAAAATATGAGAGCACGGCATTCGAGTTGTACTCCTCATTAAAGGCATTGACCAGGAAAGCCTCGTCCTGCTCGCCATTCTGGATGGCTGCAAATGTTCGGTCGAAGATATCCGCGGTAGCTTCCACAAAGAACTCGTACAGGTGTTCCGGCTGACCAACTTGATCCAGAAGTAAACTAAGAGACTTGATCCGGGCCAGCTCACGCTGCAGGTGTGTAGGATCCCGGCGAGCAAAAAGTGTTTCAAAATATCCAAAGGCCACCGCTAGACAAAATTAGATAGCTATCCCAGTCCCATGAGGCTGTGGAACACACACCTCTCCAACCGCAGTTTCCATCGCCCTTCATGATGCGGTTTATGGGGTGGGTGACAGCAAGGACCTAGTAAAAGAGTCAGACTCGACCAGGGTCTGTGTAGCTGTAAGCGGTGGAACGGCATTTACACTGGCCTTGGTAGCAAGAGTGGGATCTTCAGTAGCATAGTCTAGCGCGATTCTGTGCGTCAGCTGCTTGGTCGACACCAGAGGTTCCTGCTGGATGGGTGGGTCAGCTCGCATCTTCATTGATGATCACGGTTCCCTCACATGCAAATGGGGCTCAAAGTCATTGGACAAATTCTTGAAGCGCTCCATGTTGTCGTGGGAGAGCGCATCCATGTTGGCAGAGTTGCTCAGATTGGAAAACCAGATACAAAAAGCAGTTGTTATAGAGAGTTCTAGCGGGGGAGGAAAGACGGGGCAAGAGCGTCTCGGTCAGAGTTGGCAAACTTCTACTTTTACAGAAGGATAAAGATAAAATTCTTTCAGGGGATTGATATGAACATGGCATAAACAGTGAGAGAATGGCTTGGGCGGTTGGGTTTGAATGAATTTTTGATGAAAAGTTCAGATTCCGGGTAATAGCTGGTGGCCATGAAGATCCCCAAAAATTCAAAGAAAAAGACATGGAGCAACCTACATTGTAAAAGAAACCAGGAGGGGAATGATGTCTGCACAGCAGAGCTGGTGACTATTTAGTTAGCGCCCTTAACGGCCGCATAATACGCCACGGATATCGTTGAAAGTGGGTCGGTAATGGAATCATCAGCCCTCCAGTAGAGACTCGAGCGGCCCACGAGCGATACGCCCGGGGGCAGAGATCCAGCCCGATAATGGCTACTGGCTGTCAATTCTTCCGGATAGCATTTAGAAAAAATGCAATTCTTATCGCTCTCTAGCCACCCACGAGGCGTGATTAAGAGGTCGGTCCACCAAGGAACCCACATAGTCTCCGGTTGTTCAACACCCTGCCGAAGAACGAGGGTGGTGAGACGGTGACCACCTGATGACCAACCCCGCTACGGCACCGAAAGACTTTCCTTTCAGCCCATTTCTAATATACCCTTTTGCGCACCTTTCGTGGATTTTTCGGAAAGGAATTTCAAGCTCACGATGCCCTATTCTTTTGATGTTGTTGACTTAGGCGTTGAACGCATTTAAAATGAATAAGTGCACCACACATCCGATAGAGACGTCAGTTAGTTGAGTATCAACAGTTTTCATGGCGGACACCCATATATTCGTACAATTGTGGCCATGCCGACCGGGCGCTCCTCCACCTGGCCTGCAGCCATTACCCGACGGGCAAGGACGACCTGGTTGCCGCTTGCACAACGTATACCGGCAAGGAGGGGTTGTTGATCAACGTAAGCCACACTTCAGTGCTCGATTGAGATAACATACCTCTTCCAGGGATTGTGTCGATTCTGCCGCTCCCACGACAGCAAGAAATCTAACGGCTGCCAAACGAATTGGCCACCGATCCAAGTCACTGACACCAACAATTTCTTCGTCATTCTCATTTTTCTGCATGGGTTGCATCATCGGAGATGGCAGAACAGTAAGATACGCAGTCTCAGACTGCAACGGAGAGCAGTCCACGCAGCTTTAAGATAAATCGAGGAGCAAGCAACGATATGCGCAAGAGACAGTGGCAAGTCATCCATGAGAAAGAACCCTAACTGGCCGTCGACATAGTACTCATGCAGAGCTAGGATATTAACGCCTCAAACATTCCAATCTATCGATCAACCTTTGAGCATCTTGTCTCGGGTAACTTCGGGCAGCAACCATACGAGAAGGACGGGTGCGGCGTGTTGCGATGGCCACATCCCCCGCAATCTCATAGGTGAGGCTACTCCCATACTCTAGCAAATGCCACGAAGTCACTCGCCGTGGGAGAGAAGACTTAGCAGGTAGGTGGAGAGCAGCAAAATTAAATAGAAAAAACTCAATCGAGCATATAGGAAGTCATAACCTAAGGAGACTGTAGCCATCATTAGTAGAACAATTACGCCACCCATAGCTCATGTTATTGTTCTCGGTGATTTATAAGATCCGTATACCTCGATGGGGATCTGGACGGCTATGTGATACTTTCAGTGCGATAACTGCGTTCAGGAACCTGCCTTGCTTGTAACTACGAGTGTTCTGCGGGGCTTTTATGCTGCATGCCAAGAGAAAGGAACTCAGCTAGTCCATGTCAAGTTTGCAAATGATTGGCTGGAAAGAATCACAAAAAGCATAGCTCACCGATCAGTGGGTAGTGGGGCCGGGCGTTCGTAGTGATAACACTAAGCCCCACCCAATGCGGTTACGGCAAACTTAAAACGGGGCAATCCGGTCAGCAAAGCTACCAGGAGTCTGTCATTTGTGGAAGGCACTTCCGCAGTCTCTGGTGACTCTGAAGTGGGCTCTGTTCATTTCAAAAACCGGATACGCCAAATCTCAAACTACTGCTGGTTGGTCCACGTGTGGATCTCCAGGGGTATAGCAGGTTCCAGGCTTTCTTAACCTGGGTAGCCTTCTCTTTGCTCCCCGCATATTCGTACATTTTTCATTGCATAGATATACGATCCAGACCAAAGAGTTTCTCTTCGCCATGCCTGGATTTAGCCATTCCAAGCCCCTTCGTCTTTTTGAGTCCGAGTTCATGCGAGGAGGTGTAATATTATGCAACTCGCATTCGACATCACATACTACGTCTCTTCACATACATGACGGTTCATCACGTAGTAAATGTATATAAGGAGAAAGAGGCCGGTCATGATATATGGGTCCTGTTTGTTCTCTTACCACTTAGCACTCCTGAGGAGCAAAATAAAGAGCCGGAAATAACAGATATCTCTGCCAATGTTCCATGCAAGGCTTAACAACTTGTACTTTGCTTTCTAGAGGAGCCTACACGTTTTATTTTTATTCTTTTATTTCTTGAGCAACTTTCATTTAGAGACCAGAACGGCAAAAACAATGCCAGGGTGTGGCGAAGATTCAGGCCGCTTTTTTGGAAACAAAACAAGGATGGTGTTCACACTGGAGCCACCCACCATAATCCAACAGGGTGATACTTTCACTGTTTGTGTGAGTGTGGCTCTGGGTTGTTCACATGATCTTACGGAAACACAAAGGCAAGCATTTGCTGTGAACTTATCTCTCGTCGACGAAGACAATCCATGTCCCAGAGATGGACTTAGAGGTAGCTTGACATCTTGTCTACAGTTTCATCCAGGCCATCCTTCACACGGTTTTACTGTGTTCAATTATATTAGCATCCACCGAATAGGTCTGCACCGGCTCCAGGTTTTACTGGGAGCTCTCTCGCCTACCGGAATGATGATCGAGGCACGTGTGGTCTCTAAAGTTTTCCACGCCAGTTTGGAAACGTAAATCCATGCAAATACAGCAGGCCAGGTTCCTTTGCCGCCTCGACTTCGAACCCGAATTCCGGTATCTGGCACTTCTTCGGCCGAGAACCCCCACGCCCTGCATCAGCTCTTGCTGGTACTAAACTACTTATTCGTTACTGCAATGCTTCCTGAGGAAGAGGGTGCCTTGTGGTCATCATATACCGTACTTCTCAGGACTGGGAGAAAGGCTTGGTCCTTCAATACAGTCAGTTGCAGCCTTGGCTCACTGGTATACGCGACGCTTTAATCGAATCTCAGAACTTGCATGCCATTTTATGTGAAGGCCTGGAGATGCAAATCCGATACGTTCTCTTTCTCCTCGGACAATATGCATCGAAAGAGCCTCGCTTTCTTTAGGCGTGCTTTGAAGAGCCTTGGTTCCCCTATCGACCTTTTGGGGTGGGAGCTAGTATCGCTCTGATATGCTACGCTTTCATGGGCGTTGGTGCTAGTCACATACGGGGCTATGAGTCGAAGGAGAACTGGGTACACGACAAATCTCTCTTCTCTACCATGCTGGTAAGTTTAAGAACGTCGCCAATATTCTCCTCTGGTCTCTCGATGGGGCAGCTGCAGTCGATCTTGATGAGCCTCCAAATGGCGTTCCAGAATGAAGAATTCCGGGTTGCTGCGGTGAAACCCCAAAGGATAAATGTCAGCAACAGCGCAGAGACGATAATTTATTACACCCACGTATTCCTATCATTAGGCCCGCTCCTTCTTTCAAGAATCTCTCTGGTCGCTTTAGGGATCAAGCCGTCCGCCAGCTGCAGGATTCATGATTTGGCCACTACCTCTGCAAATGTGTTTTACAATAGGCATCCGATCAGATATCTAGAAGAAGATTTCAAAAGAGTCCCTGAAGTTATGCGGTCAAAGCCTGATTGAGTCATGGTCACAGAAATGTTTCATGTTAAAGCGTGGCAGGTAATTTCGCTGGATGCAAGTTCAGAAGAATTGTATATTAATGTCTTTCATGTTGCTGTAGAACCTACAGCAGAACACATAGCCTAAGGAGGCGAATCAAATATACTGACTTGGTGGTCAGAGACAAGTAGCAAATCTAGTCCTTTAATTCGAATAGGGAGGACCACTCCGAATTCGTTTGATCGTATCATGACCTAGAGAGTAGGCTACGGTAAAACTATCGGAACGGAATCATGATATGCCGTGATTAGAGAAACTACGCCGAATCCGAGTTGATGGTATGGGCGGCCCCATGGCTATAATTAGCCCTACGCAGCCTGGAAGGTACTCGCAAAGGCTGTTCCGTGATGAGACTGAGGGCCTGTTTCCACAATACCAACGTTTTGAATGTTTGCCTATCTACTGGGCTTGAGAGAGCCGAGATGTGTGTTTGCGTAGAATCAGTTGCTGCACTGGCGATATTCCGTTCAATTCTCAACTGCATGGTGTTAGGTGAATCATCACCGAATAGTTTAAGTTAATAGTCCCTCGCCATCCGAAATTAGAATTTACTGTGGAAAGAATAGCGGCTATTTTTCCATAGCTTAGTCTGAAGGTTTCTCTCTCGCCATTATTTTCTTGCATCCAACTGCCATGATTTTCTTTTATAAAACTACACTACTCCCCTATACAAACCTTTAGACCGCCAGACAGCCCGTTCCAGTTTTAGTGCAGTGCCTTACCGGCCCATTCTGATACTGGCGATTACGAAAGAATGGATCACGATGACAAGCCAGCGTATAGATATTCAAAGCTCCACCTCAATACCTTTCGCAAAAAGCCCGTCTGTATGTGATATATCTTATTCCGGCTATGGCAAACAAAACAGCTAATCTCATAAAGACAAGCCTCAACCTCCGATCCATCGCTCCTCTGAAGCTTTTGTGAACAGGTTTCCTTTCCTATATTCGAAAACCGAGGAGCTTGTCTGGAAATGGGAGCAATCGAAGCTCTGTGGCCAGGGCATCAATACTACCTTACAGTCCACTATCATGCTACAGGATCATCCTCCCAACAAACCTGACAGGGCAGGCAAACTCATTGCCATTGAGAAAGGAAGTTTAATCGTGCAGCCTCCGGTATACTTGACGAATCTGAAGGCGGAGGAGTATCAGTTCGGATTTCTCCATGCAGGAAATTTGACGGATATGAAGATCATTCTCCTTGGCTTGCCCGAATGGAAAAGGCCTTCCAAAGTCCGGGAAGGCATGCTTCGTTTCGAGAATTTGCTGGTCGGGAAAAGTTTTCCACTCTTCTATATATATATGGTCGACCGAATACTGGATCTCAGATTCCGTTATTCTCGATCCACGATCAACCGATGAGATTGAGATGATCAGTTTGGGAAAACAGACAGCAAGTAGTCACAATTCGAGGTACATTTGCGCTGGCCTTCCATCAACCACTATGGGTCCCCTTTTAATACGCTTGTGTCATCGTGGAATGCAACCCCCGCCTGCTTTGAGTATTCAATGGGTTTTATTTGGATTTATGCGCTGATAAATCCAAAGGAGTTCGAGATAGAGCTTGACGCGTCTTTCGATACATCATGCGATTCTATCGACTCCATGCTACAACAAATGAGAGGAAGGTCTTGGTTGGTTAAGGCGAAGTTAGTTATCAAGCTTGAAAGGCCGAGCAGAGTGAAGGCTTCTATCTTGGTTCAGATCCTAGGTGTTTCTCAGGTGCGCGTCACTTCTACTTATAAACCCATCACTCATCAGTAGGATGCGTTTCGGGGTGGACGTCATGCTCACCGCGTGGGATATGCTATTTCTGTGGAGGTATCTTTTCATATTCAATCTCTTTTCACCTAAAATCAAGCACTAATGGTTTCTATCTGTAAATATGAAGGAAATGGCATTTGCATGGCTTTGCCGCCATATCGAAAAGGCTTACTGAATGCCCGAATCGGTATACAGAATCGGCACCTGAAAAATCCTTCTAGCTCTGGATAGACGGATATGGTCAGTGACGGTCGGAGAGCATGGTTCTGGCGTAGGAACTGTCGAAAGTAATTGATGCGAGCATACGTTTCCCAATACTTTCGTATGATCGAGATGTATGATGTGAGCTCACATGAAACTCCATGCGATCTGCAATATTGAATGTCTCAAGAGGTAGGTGTATTGGAGAAAAACCATTCACAAGGCAATACTGTATCTGTGG